GCACACTATTCTTCATTATACAAGGAGAACAGAGAATTGGATCGTGGGCATCAACTCAATAATACTCACAGACAATAAATACAGAAACTCATATGGCAAAATTCCTGAATTTTGTTGGCTAGAGTCGGATATTAACTTTCCTTAGAAAAAGATCCCTCCTTGATGACGTCCTTTCACCACTGTTTACGGCAACCTACACAACGTCTATTTGCATTCTGTTGTTCCTTTCATTTAATAGCAATGAAAATTCAGGAATATTACCTTTAAACTTTCACACGATGTACATGTGGAAACTCCAGTAAAATATTTTTCATTTTTTATAAAGCTAAATTTTGAACTATGATTTAGAAGTACCCTACGCAACTATTAGCGCTCTTTAGAGAAGCGCAACCATTGGATAGTTGAAATTCAGATCTATTTTTATCTCTAAAAATTTTTATCTTTGTAAATATATTTCAGAATACACGTGTTTATTAAGATTGATAATAAAATATGCATAAACGTATAGTTTCTTTAAAATAATATAAAAAGTAATTAAGGTTTCTTCGAGATCCAGTATTGCCTTTTAAACCTAATACATTTTAAACGAGTCAAGTTCTAAAGAAATCCTTTTAATGTACGTTGCTTACATTACTGAACCAGTTATAAAAAAATAAATATTATCCCACAAATCCCTGATACTACTAAAAGCACTAGCAGTGGAAAAATTTCCCAAGACGAATAACTTCTAATATTACTTGGCATTAATTGAAAAAGCAATAAAATGTTCACGCCACTCACCTGGTGGAGGTAATGAAGTTCGGTCTTCAGAGAATCTTTTCTGTCTGGTAAAATCTCTGTCTCTTAACGTATTATGTGAACATTTCCTGTGTATGTATGTTGGATTTAGAACATCGTGCCATCCAGGACCCAATGCTCGACGAGCATCATTTCTTTCTTTTAAGATCTGGGGACGCGCATATCCTACGTTATTGGAAGTAGATTTTGTGAAAATTTCAATAAATATTTTGGACAGAAAGTAAAAATATGCACAGTTATTTCTACTTACCTAAATTTCTACTGAATTCTTCTGTTTCCAACTTACGCTTAAAATCTATGTTCGGTAAATGCTTTCTCAGCTTTTCTACGTTGTAGGATGCAGGGCCTAAATTAGGATTGTCTGCAACACTTCCTACTCTATTAAATTTTGGGTGCATACCTTTAAAGGAAAGAGCCATTGTGAGTGATACACAGATTGCATTTCCTCAACAATATACACCGTTTCCTAGGGACAACACGGAATATATTTCTATTGTTGTTATTATTACTACTATTATTATTATTATTATTAAAGTAGCAAACGGGTTTCACTTTTTACATAATTGTAAAAATCTATATATTGTGTCTTTGTTTAGGAAAACGAGTTCTTCGAAATCTATTCAGGAAGAACAATTATTGGTATCAGGTTGAGCGGTGAAGGTGTGCCGCCGAAGTTTGATATTTCTCCGGAGTTTTTGGTGTATCGCTTCGACTACAGAAAGAGCCTAGGGAAAATCAGAGATGAATGCGTCATTGAGGTAAGAATTTAATATGTATTATAACATTACACAACTAGAGGTGCTACTGAATGAAGCAGACTTTCTAATACAAGTTAGTTTCGTTATTTCTTAAGTCTGGCCATCTTTTAGATTTTGCTTCAACCCCTTCTCAGCTGCCACCATTTGGCGTGTAAAGAACATTTTTTTCAATTTTTCTTCTCCTAATAGTAAAATTGAAACTTAACGGCTATAAGAATATTATAGAAGAGTAAAACATGCTCTTATATGCAAATTTTCATTTAAAAAATTGAAGATGTTATTGAGAAAATGTAAGTTTCGTGAGAGTTTTTCACGCAAGAAGTTTGCGTTTTCGAGAAACATAATAAGAAAATGTTTGAAGCAGTTGAACTCACAAACGCGAGATGTGTAGAATATCTGCGTAAACTAAATACTACTGTAGTGAGATTTCAAATAATAAGACAACAAATAATACAGCAAAATGATACGTCATCTTATAGAGTGGTGTTAGCCCTATCTATAGAAAAAAGTTGAAGAAAACTAGTGGTACTACAGAATGGCACAGACTTTCCCATATTAGTTTTCTCTTTCCTTTGGTTGTGGGTACGACTTGCTACATTCTCTTGCCAGCTGTCATATAGCGCCGCCCGAAATCCTTTTTTAAAATTTTCGGTTTTGAGTTTTTTAGTTTTTATAATAGTAGAACGGAAATAATATTTGCGAATATTAAAGAACAGTAAAATATTGTCCAAACTGGCAATTTTCTTTGAAAAATTTGGAGCTGTTTGTATGAAAGATGCGTTTAAACGCTACTGAAAATGCGAAATTTGAACCTCTTTTCACAGAAAACTATCGAGTTTCCGAAAATCTCTATATAAAGTCATTTCCAGCAATTTGTAAAGGCGTCGGAGGTATTTCAGAAAAATACATTTGTTTAATTTTAAAAGAAACAAAGAACACAGAGAAATTAAATTAATCTTCGTAAACAGTTCAGTTAGCACAATAAGTTCAAAAAGTTTGAAGAAAAAATTTGGAGCGGTTTTTGAGAAAATGTCGTTTGTTTCTAAAAATGCGAAATTGTGAGCTAATTTTAACAGAAAATGGATGTTTTCGAGAATCTTTATCTGCCATTATTTAAAGCACATGTACTAATAAATAAATGAATGAGAACAAATTGATGTTTAATGTAAATACTAACGACGTGAGAGAAGTTCAAAAAAATAGATTTCTAGCTCGGACGAATTCCACCGTTGACTGTAAAAGATTTCTAGTGGTCTAGTGGTAACTTTCCATGGTTTCTCCGATCAGTACGAGGTGAATGCTGGAGTAGTTCTTTAACAAACGAGCTTCTGATCGCGCGTGATATTTCCTTCCTCATCCTTTCACCTTAAATACACACACTTCACTACCAGTCATATCGGGAGATGCCTAGAGTTTGTCCCTGATGATCGGGAACGCCCCTGAAGTCGACATAGTTCGACGCGACGCCGCATTTCACACTAGATGGAGAGGAGCACTGCCGCCTCCACATTTATTGATTGATCGGTTCATTGAAGTATCCGACAGTTTCTGCCTCAACTGTTTGTGTAGTGCATGTTTTTATCCCGGGAGGTGGCGGTGCTCCTCTGACGCAGGATGGTTGCTGTCGGCTTGCGGGGGATTTCCCCCTGCAAGGATCTCCCCCAGCGGGGTTCCGCCACTGCCGGGCCTCCAAACGTGTGTGCTAGGAAGTGTGTGCTAGTAAGGAGAGAGATTAGGACAAAGAGGAAGTAAAGATCTCGCGCTCTTCTAGACCCGTTTGTTAGGGTACTTACTGCTCAGGCATTCACTTATTAATCGGATAAATCACGGAAAACTTCAGCCGGACAATGACAGCCAATGGCATTCATTAAAAGGAATATACACTTTCCTTTTAATGGCATTCAACCCAAAGAAACAAAGCTTTCCCGCAAGATATGGCGTCAAAAAGAGACTGCTCTATAGAAATAGACTTTTCATACGACCATCATGAAACAAAATATCGTATTATTCCCTATTTAAGAAAGCGTTAAAGTAGTTTTTTCTACGAAAAAAGAGCAGTTATTACAAAGTGCGGTCATTTAAAAAAAATGGTTTATTTTGTTTCGCTCCAGAACTGTTCTACCAGTAGAGGGAAGACTCCCTCGAGCTTTTCAGGGTCGAGACGACACTTGCTGGTCGACCGGAGCATATTTTAAATGAAATATTGTAAAAAAGAATAACATCATTAAAAAAGTCAATGCTCAGCTCAACATAACCAATCAGAAACATTATTTCACTGAATTTGTTTCTCTTTAGGGAAAAGGAAACTAATCTCACGGGGAGAAAGTCACTAAAAGTTTTTTTTAAAAAAAAACGCCTCAGCTCTTACCTCTTTTATACCTCTTACCAGCTTAACCTTAAGATCTGTGTTTGAATTTTGTATCTCACGGTTTTGATTCTTTTCGTAGATCTATAACAAATGTAGAGCTCCTCTACCATTTTCATTAGTTGAAGAAACGTTAGCGTACAAAGAAGAGATAAGAATGTCTGCCATTCCGTCAGAGATAGATGTAACGGATGAAAAGAAAGATAAAAAGAAAAAATCGACCCAAAAATTGAAAAAAGGGGGTGAAAAAAGAAGCAGATCAGGAAGTAGAGGTAGAAAAACTAAGAAGTCTCTTGGTAAAGTTTGGAAGCAAATGGACGGCGAACTTCAACCTGAAGAAGTATCCACGTTGACAGAAAATGTAACCGATGTAGGTGCAATTGGATCTCCGTTTCGAACAATAATTGAAGAAGGGGGAAACGAATTTGTGGTTCCTCCGATGCAAAAAGTATCCTTTCTTGTGAAATTTTCCTTACCTGAACTAAATGTTGAGGAGTCTTTAATGGAAAAAGATATTTCGCAAAGACAATCTTCAGCATCTGGGAAAAAAGGGAAGAAGAGAAAGAAGAGTGCCAAGGGAAAAGACAAAAGAAAACCAAGAGCAAAGTCAAGGACGGGGTCAAAAGGACGTGGCGATAACACACCGCGACTTAACGATCAGACAGGAAAGACTAGTCTCGACCCAGATGCCAATCAAATTCAGAAGAAGATTCAATATGCTGCTAAATATAACCTTATTCTGGGAAAAACAATGAATGTGAAAGAGTTTTACTTTACAGTTTCTTCCGGTGTTAAAATCCAAGGCGAATTGAAGATCAAGAAATAGTTAAAAAATAAAAACAGGATGTTTAGTAATGTGAAGAAATGAAAGAATACTTAGTAAATATTGTATCGTAATAAAATAAAGAAATAAATGATATTTCATTTTTAATTGAGTTTAATTTTTTTCTTTTCGTTATAAATTACAAAATTTGTAAAGTTTGCAACACATTCGTTACTAGTTTTATTTGAGTTTATGGAATCGATTAAGATTTCCAGTTATATAACAATTTTAATTTTTTTTACTCTGTACAAATACGTCATTTTGACTTCTTTCCTTTTTCTTTTCCTTTCTTTCCTTTCTTTCCTTTGCCTTTCACATCTTCTTCGGGGGGCTGCATTTGATAAGAGACGAAAGGTACTTTAGGATTTTCGGGGTACGTAGTCGTGTAGCTAATAACTTTTGTCAGGCATAACATTTCGTAAACAGTTTCAATTTGGGTGGGAGACAAACTTTTCACCTTCTTTTGGAGATGTAATGGCATACGATCTTGCATTAATTGATTTAAATCAGCATAAAACTGAAAAAAGTAATACATACATAACTTAATGCAAAAACATGCTCTAGTTTAGTGCATGCAAAGTCATAATTTTCAATTCTGAACGCAACAAAATACATGTTATCTCAAAAAGAGGGATGAATATTTTAATATTATATTTTATTTTATCTAAAGGGATGTTACATAATATCAACAGTGATCTTAATTTTTTTCACCATAATAGTGTGTATTTTTCACCAGGCATGGCCCAAACTAAGGTCATCTGGATGCACCATGTCAATAGCAAGATGATATGTAAGCAAATTTGATAGAATATTAGTTTAAAATTTTCTTTAGATGTCGAGACCAGAGTACCACGCCAAATGCATGAGTGCGATGAAAAATGTTGATCACGAAAAGTTAATTAGAATTATTAATCAAATATTTCTCCTATATTATAGGCGAAAGAGAGATGGCGATTTTGTACCATTTTGACTTGCAAAATGACTTTCCACATTGTTAGCACAAAAACGAACTCTTGCATTTTTGTAGCGATGTTTCTTGCCTCTCGCTTCGTATCTCCTTTTTGATAATTATCATCAGAGATAAAACCTAACGCGAAAAGTATTTGAGAGTTTGAATGAAGCATTGCTTCCGTGGCAACTTCCCAACGCGAATCCGAAAGTTTCTTTAAAAGATTTCCATTGCCAACATGAATTTTAAGCACACATCTTCTGTGCGTTGAAGCAGAAAAAATGTGAAGCGAATTATTCGTTATGCAGAAAACAGTGAATGGGAAGAAGATTCATACAGCGATATTTTAGATTTAATGAAGCTTCTGCTTTGAACCTTTGGCAACATGGTTTTTCATTAATAAATATGATACAATTTGCCAATGGTACACCCTTTTTAAGTGACACCTGCTGAAGGACAAAGAGATCTAATGTAGAAGATCTATTGACTGAACTTTTAGGAGATTAGTTGAGAGAATTCTTCCTGGCATGGAATGGTATTCCTTTGTTCTTATTGGACCAATAGCTGAAAATCAAACTCTAATGGATAGACAAGAACTGAAAGATTATTCTAATTGTTCAGATGACGAGCATGGCTGGCACATAAAAATTTTAATTTAAGTTTTTATTTAGTTCTTTGAAATTCCTTTAGCGACCAAAAGTGGTTACATTTGCTACAGAAATTGTAGTAGCTTTGTCAGTTTGGCAAAGCATTTGCATATAAACTGCAGTAAAATAATTTATCACAATTGAATGTAATGAAAATAGAAGCATTATATAATGGAAAAGCAGACAGATTTGCAGGTGCTTCGGACAAAATCAAACTCGTCCAAATTTTCCAAGCAAAAGCAAACATGTCCAACTTTAAACCTGAAATATCGTCATAAGTATAACTGATTTGATAGCGGTATACGTATACTATTGTAACAATACTAGTAAGCAGTACAGCAAGCACATTACATTCTTCGAAAAGGCTATAACTTGTTAACAATAATGTTTTCGCTGATTCTGAAAAATCCAATTTAATGGACATGTTATTTGCATGAACAGTCCTCATACATTACACTAATAAATTAAAAACGCATGTGCGTCTGTGGTAGTTACTTTCGTTCCAGGAATAAATTCTTCTTTGAAATCGGCAGACCATTCTGTGCAATCCAAGAAACCAACTCTTGACGGTGATACAAGCAACGTATTGTGTGGAACCTGGAAAAATGTAAATTTCCTCTTACCAATTATTTTTATATTGAATGTTCCTTCATTTTGCAATTTGTATACATAAATTGTTCTGGATATTCGAAACTATAACTACACATTATTTATTATCCTTCAAAAAATGAAATTGAAAGTTATTATTTAATAGAAAATTGAACTTCTTACTGGATGCCAGCGATCCAGAAATTCGCGCATTAATATTACAATTTTCCTGCGTTCCACCAATAAATTCCAACGACTCCAACAAAAATTGTAAACTCCGCTAAGTATGGCCATACAATGATAAAGGTGATCTTCCAAAATTGTGTATTTTGGCTGGCAACTCACGAAACAATACGCATCATCATCTGGAAAAACGTCCAGTCCTTTGCTTCTCAAAATCTGTAAATGAAGAAGTACAATGAAAATGCACTTAATTTCCTAACGACTAATGGTTTAAATGCGGTGGCGTCTCCTCAGTATAGGCGATTTTCTAAGCACTCACTCAAAATAATTCCTTGTAGTTTCTCTAATACGTTTCCTAATGAGAGAAGAGTAAGTTGTCTCAAAGAGTTTATGAAAAAAAATGCAATTGCGAATGACACGTCTTTCGGAAGGAGCGAACCCCGCGAAAATTGAAGCAGCCACGCCAACAAACAATGCACGAATGTGGGTGTCTTGGCAGTCGCAAACGTGGCTCGACTGTCGTGTGAGTATCCGGAAGATACTAATGCGGTACGAAACGACCAGAACCCGTGTCTGCGTTCGCTGTTCCCGTTGGCGGCTAGCTGCCTGACAGCGAGGACCCTTTCGCGCCTCCCTCATGTACCTCCTCCTCCTCCTAAGCCTTTTACCTCCCTCTCCGGAAACGAATGGCCTCATTGAATCCCGCGGTCCTAAGCAAGTTCCTAAGCAATTTACCTGGCACAATCCGATTGCGTCGTAGCTTCTAAGATTGCCCTGATACTCTGATATTTAAAGAACACGAACGAAAAAAGCGTTTTTAACGTTGTTATTTTTGTGCTTCTCTTGCCCTGTAAGGTCTTGTAGAGAAAGGAAAGCTTATGCTGGGAGTGGGAAAGCGAAAGAGAGGATGAAAATGCTGAGATGCTTACTGAGCAAATGCAGGGTATCATGGTAAAGTTTAGAGGTTACAATTTATTAATAATGGTGTTTGTGTTTTCAGCACTTATTTTAGGTGAGAACATCTATTTCTGTACTAATATATAAAGAGACAAGTGCGTTGAGTTACAGCGCAATAAACTGAATGTACTACACCAATACCGATGAAACTATTATGCTAGCTTCCTTTGAAGGTCAGGAATACTGTAGGCTACGATTTACTTCCATAAATCTTAATATAATTTTGTGGGATTTTTCGCCCAGCATTTCATCACAGACTCGAGAGTCCATCAATGTGCAGTACTGCGCGCCACAAGAGGATGACGACTGAGATGAGGATGAGTTGCGATTGAGTTCATCGATTGCTGCCTGCAGGATAGGAGAGGACTGTTCGTTTATTTACATTCAATTCTCTCATCCGAAATTTTCATAATTAATGATTTTGACAGATTTCTTTATTTATAGAAGATTTGGATATTGATTTTAATTGCGTCTAGGCGTGAATACATTGTCATGACGGAGTCATTATATTGATAGACTTGAGGTGCACCGCAAACCCAACATTAACATTAAGTGTATAAGAAATATGAAATTGGAAAAAACTCATTTTCAGATGGCAGCGCTTGTTATTGTCATAAAAAGATATGAATACATACATGTGTTCTGCATGAATTATTAATTGGTTTACTTTTAGTAAATTAAGCGTGATTATTACGTATTTACGAGTTTCACAAGCGAAAGTAAAACATTATGAACGATTTATGTGTTCTGCTGAAAGAGTGACAGATGAGTGAACATTTGTAGGGAAGTGTTTTATTACAATGGAGTCTGAAAGCGTTCGTTTAGGTAGTGAAGGAATGGTTATTTCAAGTGAAGAGAGTACGTTTGGCGAGAAGTAGTGTAATTGAAGTAAAAGAGTAATGGTAAATGAGTACGTGGAGGGATTGACATGTGTCTACGCTGTATTTCACGGTTGTTGCAAACAGAACCAAAGGAGTTATTTTAGATAATTGAAACACTTTAAACAAGCCGGGATTCACTGAGAACTCGGATTTTTGAGATATAATTGTCTAAGTGGTTAATGGCACCTATATGTCAGTCACTGTTTATCAAGGACCGTAAAACGCGTACTCAACTTGAAATAAATCACTTTAATTAGTCACTTTAATTAACATCAATTGTCAAGGCGTGGCGTTAAAAATCAATTTCAAACTTTCCTTTTCAAATACGTGCGAAGAAAAAAAGAAAAAGTGTAAGTTTAACAATGTGACAATTGATTAAACGTATAGGCAGAAGATATGTGATAAGCGAAAAGACCTCCCTTTTCAATATAAATAATTTGATGTAATATTCATTACAATTTATTTATAGTTAAGGGATTTCAACGTGAGCAATGTAGATATGTTCCCATAGTATCGGAGTATAAATAAATAGCAAATGCGGGAAGTACAAATGCATTCATTTGAATACCACAATTGTCAGAAAGGCAAAGACTCGCCTAAATATACAAATCAGGGGACAGACGGCGTAGTCTTAACTAGACAATTGAGAATCTTCCCTGTATGTCCCCAGCTGTCGAACTGATCGAATCGTAGACAGATGTACGTGAGTCTTTGTGTTAGATGGGAACACGTGGGGAGATGTTGATTTCATTGCGCTGGGAACAATTCAATGTTAAGTGGAGGAGATGAATAAAATTGTTAGTTTTTATTTCGAAAAATACAGAAATGACGTTAAAAGTTACATGGGTGATTTTGGAAATTTAATATTGGGATAATGGACAGAAAATTTGATTCGAGAAATATTGTTGTAGATTATGAAAGAAATCTTTAGTGACAATAATTGTCATGGAATTAATATATCTATGTTAGGAGAGTAACCGGGAGGAGGCACCCGTCTGCGGTGGTTTGGCAGGTGAATTTGTTTAGAAATATTATTATGTAGTACAACCTAAACAGAAACGATAGTAAATATAGGGAAAATTAGGAATTTAACATTGGACGACAGAACAGAGAAGACGCCATGGAAGCCTTGGACTTCTCACTACAGTACGGAATCAGCTGAGAAGGGCGAAGAGCGCGGGGAGATTTCGTATGTTGGCATTAAAGAACTATATTTACCAAATTAAGTCAAAAAGAACTTAACAACTCAAAAGTAAGAATTTAATTGAAGTTGCGCAAAATAACAGGTCATTATTAAATACGAAATTAAGCAATATAAAAATGAGTTCGAAGTTTTTGTCAACGATAGCAATGAAAAAATGTTATATTCTTTTATTTGAAATAAGGCTGATTATTTAGTAATGATTTTCAATCAATCTTAACAATTTTCGTCCAGAACAAATTTCCATTTCGTCGATACGCATGAACGGTCTGTCAATGTGCGGCAACGCAAGTAGTAATTAGTCGTACATGCGTACCTATGAATCTGGATATGTGTGTATATAAATATATATGTATATATATAAATATATATATATATACACATATATATAAATATATATGTGTGTGTGTATGTGTGTGGCGATACAATAGATTTCCGGCAATGCAGGGTACTTCAGTTGGTGGATAGAGAGGATTTTAATATACTTTCAAGGAAAAAAGAGTTGTGGAAAAAATAGATTGAGAATGGAAGGAGTGAGAAAAGATGTGAAGAGTGGAAAGAATAAAGAGAGAAGAAAAAACGACAAAAGGCAAGGAAAAAGAATGAGAAAAGTAACAGAGTAGACATTATCATATCTTATAATAGAAAAAATGTGGAAAAAGGAGGGATAGTGTGGAATGAAGTATAAAACGTTAAAATAAATAATAAAACCAAACGTCGGGTATGTGAAAAGAGATCATTTCAATCCGCTAATCAGAACGCTGCGATGGATTTTAGTATGACCGATTTTGTCAGGTACTAGAGAAGTGCAAAATATAATACATGAGAATAAAAATGTCGGTCTTAGAATAAATCCAAAAGCGAGGTTATTACATTTATTTAAATTTTATTTCTTTGCGGGAACTAATTATAAATTTGTATAAGTATATTTTTATAATTGTATGTTGCAAATGTGTAATTTTTTAAAATAATGTTTCAGGCCCCTTGTATTCTGAGGTTCCAGTCTGTAACTTACTTAACATAATGTTAAATCTGCCACTGATGGTGTCTGGCTAAAGCAATCAACTTCTGGAAAGCATCACGTAAACTGGGGTATGTCAGTTCCAGGCATGTTCTCTGTGCTCCGAGTTATGTTAAATGAAATTATGAACTAACTAAAATTTAAATTGTATCATAGAAAAATTGGAGACATCAGACACTCCCTTGTATTTTTTTGTAAATACTGAAAAAGTGTGTCATTTTGACACGTGTTCGCACATTATGAAAGGAATAAACTTGTAACCTTTTAGTGATAAACAAAATTCTTATTTGCTGGTTTTTCCAATTTTTTCTTAAAGAAATGTGGTTTGCTTTCTCCGTGAACTTATCATTTAATACAAATAGGTAACTTGTTTTCCTGTGATAAAACAAACGTATAGCAGTGGTACAAATCCTAATGAATTTTCAGAAATAATTGTAAAAACTTTTCTTACCTTCACGAGCTCCCGAGGCCTTTTATATACTCCTGTAATACCTCTAAGTACATTTCTCATATTTTTTGGCAGCTTGTCCACAGACGCTAAGCATACATTGTTTTCCTGCGCAATGTTCATTACATCACATTAATAGTTTCAATTACGTCGCACACCAATGGGTGGGTCAGCGAAGCACCCCCACAGCAGTCTTTTTCTTTATCTTTAAATAGGTAACACGTTTCTGTTTATCTTTTAGAAATTATATTATTGGCACCTTTCTTAATTCTAAGTGATAGTTTCATCCTTCAACGCTTCCTAGATATTTACAAAATAATTACAACCAGCCACGTGTGATCGATTCATGTGGTCTCTTGCAGCCATATCTGCTCATAATCAGATGCTTTCTTATTTCTGTATCTGTAGATGAAGATGTCAGTTGCGTTCTCGGAGTAGCATTTAGAATTTGGAAACGACCTCAAGAAAAGAAGATTAAAATATTTAGGCCCTTCCCATACATCAAAAACTAAAAACATGTTAACTCAATTTAAACATTCAGAAAATGAATTTTTAAATTATGAAGCACTAGTTCTTAACTATGTAAACTTTCCTTCATTTATTTTGACATTTGTTCCCCGTTGACCCTCGCCCCTCATTGGCGTCCTCCGGGTACTGGCAAGGCATTGGTATGCGACCATTCTAACTTATTAAACCATCTGAATATACCTAAAACGCTGAAATTACATATAAATCAGATTAATAAATTGAGGATGAATATCAGTTTTCTTGAGGTTAGGTCTGTTGTAGAAAAAATAATTCCTTCAACAGGAATTCGGTGAATGCATATGCAAACAAAGCAAAAGGAAGTAACCTGATCGAGAAAATTTGCAAATCAATATGCATCATGATCAGAATGCCGATTTAGAAAAAACTTAAGAAAGCCATTTGTTTCGATTGAAGTTAAAAAGCCACAATCAACTTTTAAATCATAGAATCAAATTTGTAGGCTACGACGAAGTGTTAATTTGCTTCACATTATTATCTATAAAAATCATTGCTTTGATACAGAGTATTACGTTTGTAACAATTTTGCCAGATTGAAAATCCGTTTTCGATCCCCCCCTCCTCTCTAATCAATAAATTACAAATGAAAATGTACTTTACAACACTTTCTCTGAACAACGTACGTAGAAATACGAGAAAGTAAAAACTGTCCAGCTACATTTACAAACTTAAACGAATGATTCTGATCAATTTCTCTTGAAACAAAAATATTACGGCCACTGTGCTTGTTGTATGATTTAGCATTTTTGGTCGAAATCTGGCCATCTAACGATATTTGAGCTCTCTACCTTGATTCTCGTTCTATTAGAAGGACGCGCACGTCCCAAAATGTCTGGCAAGCCGTGCAGATGCCGTCGTGAATGACGCATAGGCTCCGAGTCTACTGCGAATATACTTTAGATCAGTCCTGAATATTTTTTGCGTAATCTAAAAGATTAAATCAATGGTGAAAGATATTTTCATTTATTGTAACAATTTATAGAATATAACTTCTTTAAGTTATGATATTTTTTATTTAATTTGTAATACGGAAATGTTTTAGAGTAAGATTGAATAAAATGAATTACTTCAGCAAATGTTGAAAAATTTTAAAAATAAAATTCACCGTAACACTAAACTGTGCCCCCCATTCCTATGTAACGCAGCATAACGCTGCCCAAACCCCGTCCCCCACCTTCAGCGTTTCGTAATTTATGGACGACTCCTTAAGAAAATAAAATAGGTTTATACCATTAATATTATTATAATGAATTATGTGGGGGTGCATTGCCTCCTGTTCAAACTGCACAGCTGGGACCCGGGTTCGATCCCAGGCGGTTCCGAATGGTATTTGTGGTGGACGAAGCGGGTTCGCGGCTCGTTTTCTCGGGGTTCTCCCGTTTGCCCTGCCAATATGCATTCCACCGAAATGCTTCACCTTCCTTTCCCTATCCTATCATTCCGCTAAGAATCCTCGGATTATAGCGTTGTCTAGGCGATAACCTAGGAACTAGCTGAAAGGGCTGCTGCTACCTCGGCGGGTTCGATAGGTAGTCCCGGCCTAATAAATTAGAGAGAGGGGGAACGGTGACGGAGTGGGGGACTCCCTCTCCCAACATTCTAGTTGCGGTTGGTAGAGGGTGGATGTAATGCCAGGATGGTTTAGCTTCGTTGAAGCTGGCCCCTGAGGGGAAAATCAAAATATTTACAATTAATTAATCTCAGTGTTTGATTTTGTCCCGACATTTTTGATGGGTTATCCCTAGGTTTATATGATGTTGTGCAGTTTAATAAATATTGCATGATATATTATAAAACGCGGTAAATCCAACCATTAAATGAATGTGTTAACAGATGTAATATTAAACCAACTATACTAAACTATTACTATTCTATGCGCATGAAAGAGAAAAGGAAACAACTTTACCTTAATTTTGAAAGTTACATTGACGTGGTTTGATCTCATAAATAATTGCACAGTTTGGTCTTCAAGACAAGGCCTCATATCCCAGCTTCGGAATGGTATATTAGAATATCGAAATGTTGCTAGTGCCAGAGGACCAACTTTTTTCAATTCAAACGTTACTTGCTAAGAAAAGAAACCAGAAAAATGAAGAATTCAGATCAATATGAATTCATTTTCCTGTAATCACAATAATCACGTGTACCTTTTCTTCCGCTTTCAAATGAAGAATATTCTCATAAGACCAATATTGTTTGTCGTAGTCCCACAAAACAACGATAGGCGTTTCAAAATACACAACATCCGTTTTTAGCCTTGAAACAACAAAAGCACATTAACAAATATAGTAACTTTTTACAGCAAAGGCATGGTGTAAATGAAGCCGTTCATTACCAGGGCAGAACTCAGGAGCCCAGAGCTTCGTAAAATTGATTTTATTGATGTTTTTAACGGTGTTCCTAGGTTAATAAATTGATATAAGACTTAATTAAGATGCGCATAAATTTAGACGCACAATATTATTTTTACGCCCAGATTTTTCTTTTTACCTATGGCCCAAAACGCTGAAAAATTTCAGATTATAAAGAAACATTTGTGATATATTGCATCATATTTTGAACAAAAAAATTATCTAAAACAATCAATGATTTCCTGATTCGAAAAAACATGAAAGCTATATAAAACAAACAATCGTCAGTGGGCCTGTGAGATCCCGTTGGTAATGCTATGTTAATGCAAAAAATTCTATTTACGTACTTCAATGTCACTTTAGGGTAGAGACTAGTTGTCTTCGTTTCTTGCTCTCTGCAAAGAAAACAAATTGAAATGAGAAATGGCGCACTGACCAGGGAGGGTCTCAAAGGTCTTCACCTCCCCCCTATTTTAGAAATAGCTAGAATCTGGAGACGGAGTACTCATCTCATGTATACAGCTTTTTTCTTTTTTTTTTTTTTACTTTCTCAGACTTCCTAACGTACGAAGAGAAAGTATTGTAATCATTCGTCGGAAAACGGGGAATTTTCGACACAAAAACTCTTATTGCAGGCCTTCATTAAACTCCTCGTAATGTTTTGTGTCATAAAGAACTTCAGCAGAGTGAGTGGAAAGTGCGAGCGAGCCGTGTCGCTCCGCAGGGTCAACGCTCGCAGCAAAGGCTTCCCGCTCCAGAGAGCGCGGAGCCGAGAAGCGCAGTGGTCCTCACCGCGAGTTTCCCTGCGTCGCGCCCGGGACCTGCGCCTCGTTTTCCCACAAACCTGTCTTAAGCTACTTCGCCTTTAATTACAAGGATGATTGAAGAGGTACTAAATTAATTTTGCCTTATAGATTAGCAATTACATAATTTTACATCGTGACATACATGTTTTGGAGGTAACCGATTACGGTGGCGCTAGCTTAATTTTAAGCCAGCTCACTAGTAATTACGCAAACATTTCAATTGCATGAATTTTTTTGTTTAATTAATTAGAAATTAAATAATTATCAATGGTGGAATATTTCTTTATGTGTTAACTGATTATAGTAGTGCTAAGATACTTTTTTTCGTTACCAAGGATCGACAATACCCATTTTCTCTAGGAAAATTACCAATTTCCCCCGCAGTGTTCAAATATGTTTTCTGTATTCCGTATAAGTACAAGGTAATGATACAAAAAAAGGGCGGAATTCAGAATTTCTAAAGCCTCCCAAACGTCCTTTGGGGTCAGCGCAGCACCATCTGGAGGGGTGGTATAAAGTCGCCTAAAGAACGTTTTGAAATATTTTACGGATGAACGCCATTATTTCGTGTTACGCTCCTCTTCCAGCCTACCCCTCGACTGTATTTTTGCAATGTTAATTTTTTGCAATTTTTTAAATTACAGGGATATTACAAAAAACGTGACCCGTACAATTTTTTTAAGCTTATAATGTTCTATCCGGCGGGAAAAGTTAAAACGGGAAGTTTGAGCTGTTTTGAGAAAATAATGTTTACAATTGCCCATATTCACGCCATAATACGCGGAAACTAGTCATATAAGTCCTGTTTTCATTAAGAAAAAATTGCCGTTTTTAATATTGTAGCTGTGGGAAGATGTGGAAATAATTTTGAACTTTAGGATTTTTTAGAACTCAGATATTATAACAAAAATAAAACCTGTTCTATTTTTACGTGTTCTTTATGATATCCGAAAAAATAAAAAATTGAAACCATGTTAGAGAAAATTTTGAAAATGATGTTAAGGCTTCATTCCATAAAAAAGCATCCCCCGAAATTAAAATATCCGTTTCAAAATCACAAAGCCTGAACTTCGTTCAGATCGATCAGGGAATATTAATTTTAACGACAATCGTCAATATTTGTGAGACGGCATTCGGTGTCTCCCTACTGTGACGTCACCAAGTGCAGAGTTTCCGCGCATAAACTCTGCGTGTTATCTACAGGTGTAAAATAATTGGAAAGCGCGATAATATATAAAATAATATATACTTCTGAATATAAAATGGAAATTCAACTTTAATTTTCACATATTTATAATGTATGAATATTTATGCTATTCATTCCAAATGTTTTATTAGAAAATCAAAAGATACTTACTCAAATTCAATCATGCTAGTCAGTCTAAACATTCTCTTTTCTTCTTCAGTCATCTCTGCTGTGCTTTTGCTACAAAATAAAATATGGTATAATGAAAAATTGAATATCATTAATTTGGTATTCATTAACCCTAGCGATACCAAAATGTAAAATGTTTCGTGCATTACTAAGGAGGTCCACCGTTTACTTTTGTTGTGTTCGTCGATATCAACAAATCATAAATGTGTATTACATCATTTAAAACTCAAAGATTTAGCTTTAAGTGCTTATAAAAGTTTGGTGATCTGAGAATAGTTATTTCAAAAAAATATATTTGTGTCGTCCACTCTTTATTTACGACTGCTCTCCGACAGCGCTCTCAGTCTTGGAAAACGCTCATAAACGTTACAGGAGTGTGCTTCAATGAAATTGAAAAAATACAATGGTACAACAAATTACAAACAACAATTCACAAGAATCTATGGTTCTGAGACCAAAACTATACAGGAATAATTTATTGCTTACGTTGCGAGTATGTATAAGTAGGTAGTTTTCTTATTTGAAATGACTCACACTGAATATTCTTAATAGCATCTTGAGCTATGAAAATAAAATTTTGGAATGAAATTATTACAGACACCCTAAGCTTTTAAATTAAATGTCTTTTTGTGACGTGTGTAAGAAATCAGCGAATAACTTACCGCTTTTCAAAACTCTTGGACCGTCGTGCGTATGACACTGCTCTTGCTGCAGTTGATCCCGATTTGGCAGTAGGTCTCTTTTCTTTCCTACATTTTTGAAATAAAGAAAAACTCCTGTGTAAAATATATATTTTAAGTATTATAAAGTACTACAAAGTCATCTTGAAAACGAACGATTTTTTGCTAATGGGAGTGATGTTTTCTGCTCCTTCTAATTATTATGTCTGCCCTTCCGAAGTTATGATCTCATTCGGTAAAGGTCAATCAATGGAAATACAATTTAACTACAACGGTTTTGGGTTCAGCTTCACACATCTTTCTGACAAAATCATCAACATCATAAATGTAATGCAGGAGGAACTGTAGCTAGATAATACAACAGTTAGATAACAAGCTAAATCCAGTATCAAAACCATTAACGTTACCATTCAAACCATGACAGATAACGTAATGGAAGCTTCAGAGATATTTAATAGAATCAAAAAAATATGTAGTTTTCTAAAAAAAGGAATGGTTTCAGCACGTTAAAATTGGTTCTCCCAATCAGAATCAATAGTAAAATTTGGTGTAGCTATTTTTGAGGTTCACGCACCCACGGCGCCGTGGGTGGACCACCGTAGGGTACCCTGCTCTACCGTGATATTCTGAATCATAAAACGTTTGCAGTGCAAGATTGATTATCTCGGAACTTCGGTGAGTAGTTCCACAGCCTACATTTTTTCGCTACAATTACTACAAAAAATGTTATATCAACAATAGAATAATTTGTATCAACCTATATGTTTGGTTGGACAGCTTTTTTCCTTGTTTTATTACCTGTACTGTTAATTGTAAATGTGAATCCAGAAATTGTTAAATAAAAAAATAAAAAACAATATGCAATAATGTAAAAGCACTTCCATTAAAAAATGGAAAATTTCACACTAAAAACAGTTTTTGAATAGAATTAGATACATTAAGTTTAAATCTGAAATAATCATTTCATTCATATTTTACCTAATAATTTCTCTACTGACATCGATTAAACTTACCTTTTTTTGCAAATGCGTATGTCTCCCTATGCATTACATAAATCTGGCAAAATGTCACACTCTAATAAAAACAGATTCAAATGTATACATTAACTACAATAACGTAAATGTTAAGAAAAGTGACGAAACACACCTAAAATATTTTCTTACCGATTTCTTGCGATAGTTTGCCTCATCATAGCTTTGTATCCCTTTATACGGTCCAGCAGTAGTCGCATAAATTGCATCACTCTTATTGCCTTGATAACGCTTTTCTATTTGAGGGATGTCTTGATGGAACCCATGACGGACTCCATATCACTACAAAATCTATGAAACGTTTCGTGGAGAAGTAGTTTGAAAAAATTATTGGACGACCATGAAATACGTAAACTGTTTTATGCACGGAAAAAGAAGATTCCAACCTTTTAGTTGCGCAGAAAAAGCTCAGACTATTGCTTCGACAAATTTAAATCACGAACAAGATGGTTGAGATTTCCTTCAGAGCAAATATGTGGTTCATTACATTCCCAGGAGGCTTGAAATGTTGGGTCAGCATGGATATCTCCGTCTCTCGTCTCCGTCTAAATGTTCGTCATTGTAGAATTCCTCTTCATTCACTCGCATATTCTTACGAGGTAGGGTTACCGGCATTTCTTGACTATGACTTCTAGGCCTTATTGCAGGGAGCAAATTATAGGATATTTGACAGTTTGTTTTTCGTTTTTGATGTGATTCCATCTATATTTATTAGACAGAAATAACAGGCTGTTGAGTGAACCGTTGGATCCCTCCAAAACATGGTAACAGCAAAGGGCGTGTATTGTGTATCTTTTAATAAGCATGTCAGGAGTATAACACACGACACACAGCATATACAGGATCCAATTTCATATCCTGATCCACAACCTTACACTTGAACTGAAGTCCATAACACTTCCTTATCAGAACATTAAGGTTCAGTTTTTGCGATTTCGAAGTTAATTCTCTACGGATATAACAAAATGAATTACATTTTTTAACAGTTACGAGGATTTCTTCTTCTAAATTAATAGAAAGCAAAAACCCTCACGAACCCAGAACAATAAGCAATCACATCCAAACACTTTCCATCCTATCAGATATCTCAATGCTAGGTCGCAACCGACAAGAAACACTATGCGATTCTATCTGTTCTAGAATGACTTATTAGCAATGTTGCCAAACAGTTTTCATTTTCTAAAGATTAATTTTCTGATTTCAATTCTAGGTATAGGAATTTCTTGTTCACTTTTCAGTTGTTCCTGAACAATTAAATCTGCAGAATAATTAATTGAAGCTACAGCAAAGTAACCAATATGCAGAGTCTTGAAGCATTTCCGTAAATAGGGAGTTGCATGTAACAAGAGAACTGATCCCGATTGGCAAAAACTGATTTCATATTCGAATTCAGGGTCCATGCCTCAGCTAAGATCACCATTCAGATTCTTTGTTACAAAAACATCTATTGACCAGTGTAACCTTTTGCAGGCCACAATAAATGGCACCGCGGGCCGCCAGTTGGACAACCCTGTTTTATTCTATTGTATAACCACAATAATTAATAGGTCAGCTTTCTTACTGCCTGAGTAGCTGCCTGGCTTTTCACACTGGAAAAGACCACACAGGACAAATCACCCCCAGATTAGAAACTCCTAGATGGAAGACGCTCAAGAAATATGTACTTTACTGTTTATCTGACTAGCAAACAAGGCAGTACATGTGTGGTTTCAGAAGTGATCTCTAAAGCTTTTAACTGTATTTTGTTTTTCGAATGACACATAGAAGGGACCTTCCCTCTCATGTACACTCAAGCAACACAATTTCCCTCCTTTTTTCTTGCCCCCACACTGCCCTCACGCAGCACGAATATGGAAAGCAGCAGCCAAAATCTTTAAAAGCTCAATTTCAGACATCTGTAGGAAACCACACCCTCAACTTTGAAGAACTGACATTACCACTTGACATTGAAACAATATGAAACTCACCTCAGTTGGTTGCATTACCTTGTGATTTCGATGATCTGAATTATCTATCAAACGCTGCCCTGTTCATACAACGACCCATATTCGTACCAACAGTAGAGTCAGAAATCAATTGGAATCGCATTGTAAGATGGAATAGAATCCGAAGCATGACACAACTTTTCTAGAAACAATGTTCTCCAGCCTACATTCTGTCTTTGTAAAAGAGACAAAAATGGCAATCGTGGCACACCAATCTTGAAGACCAACCTGGCGCACAGTCAACAAACAATCCGCACTCACGCGTGCAAATGTAAATTCCGCGATAACCCGTCTCATGTAAATCAATGACAATCGGTGTTGGTGCGTGTCCGCGAGTCTTCAGCGTCGTAGTAGTCTCCCACAATATCACGGTCGTCTTCGTTATTCCCAGTTAGCTCTAGCAACTTAGCTCTAGCAACATTTTCTGACTTCACCGAAACCAACTTAGTTGTATTGTGACTATCATCCTCTCCGAACCCCGAACTACAGAGCTTCAGAGGAATGCACGCCTTAATACTGGTGTTGCCTTTTTCAAATAGATGTAAAACCCACGCAAAGAGACCCCAAAAGCCAAGGTAATCTTGAATTCCCAAATGTCATAAACTCTTTTCTTCTTAGAGCTGAGGCTTCTAATTATTTTTTTCTCAATTTGTTCATGTTTATCATCTTAACTTCACGTTATGTATTGACGATTGCTTCATGTATACATTCATTTATGCAGGCTAGCTTCGATGCCCAAAAACAGCAAGAGAAGAAAAAGGAATACAAAATAATTCACAATTAGTTTATAAACTACATGAATCGTAAATCATTTATTATAATAATTATAATCTAAAAATATGACTAACAAGGTAAATCTCACTCTTCCAGTATACTCATCCACGATGAGATAGCCCAGGCCAGAGATCGCCAAACCGTCAATCGCGAGCTACTACTGATCATCAAGAACAACATTTGTACAATTGTATCTGAATGGCCGTCGCGACCTACTCTCCCAACATAAACTCTTGTTAATGTCAAAACAAAATGCCCTCCTTCTCATTAACAAGTGTGATAAAAAATCTGTTCTTACATTTATAATATGTTACAAACTAAATTTCACATTTTTTGTAATGTGAAAATTAATTTTAATTAATTTTGCTTGTATACAGTTTTTAAAAATCTTTTTCGTATTTAATTAAAGTGTCTGTTTATATAATACATAAAAACTATGTTTGTTTTTGAGACGTCCATCAGATTGCAGTAAAACATTGTTTGCACTTGAGGGACGAATATAGGTGTAGTACGATGGGAATGTGCATATTACTATTCATATAGACGCATGTTGATGATTTTATGTAGACTCAAGAATCCTGATCAGGGCGCTTTACGCCACGGCGATCTCTACGCTGAAGTACGATTATTAAGACGTCTTCATTGCGTATTCTTCCACTGCGCTTGTCAAATTTCTCTCGGGAGAGACAGTGGAAATCAGAGACGCAGAGAGAGAAACAGAGAAAGACAGAGAGAGGCGGAACCACACTCGTGAGAAACTCTTTCGCCTATTGAAATGTTTGCAGAGCGGAGCGTAAAACGTGATTAACAATTACGTGGTCACTTCCATGTGAAGTGTAAAACATTGCAATTGCAAAACATTGCAGGGTCCACTAGTAGTCAATATACAAATGTTAAAACATGAAAAAAAGCTGTCTTAGATTTTTGATAGCTCAAAGTAGGATTGAAAACGGTATAGTTGCTCACAAGCTTCATAGATTTGACGACCACTGGTCTAGATTTTAATCGCAGTATACGACACTTTTATGCACATTGTATACATTATATTCATAAAAAATTCGCTATTATTAAGTTGTTGGAGAAAGTAATCTTTTAAAATCACAATCATTACTGCAAAAATTTTCAAATTAAAACTTACTTTGATTTTCTGTCTTCTGCTACTGACTTCTTCTCCTCTACAATTGATTTTTTCTCTTCACCTTTTCTGTTGAACAACAGAGAAATAAATCACAATATAATTTTCACATCAATACAAATCCACGTATGTCTACCACGATAATCTTCATTGCATAATTTGAGGTGGCGAAAACTATAAATGTGAAAAAAGCGACCACTGAAAAACCGTTTACTCGTAACATGAGCCAAATAACCTGAATCTCATATCGGTCGTGCTCACTCATGTCAAGTGTGAAAACAAATGTTTGAGACCACGATACCCATATCAAGGTATTTCCAATGTCCAATGTGTACCTTACGAGGTACGCGGTAGGGTTATGGTAATTGAACAACTTCCATGAGAAGATTTGAACAAGAAATTAACCGTGTAATTGAAAAAGTACGCGTTTAGTTTGGATTTACAATGTAAATCGCAATTATAATCGAGGAACTGATTCCATTACGTAAAATTTAAGAAACTCCAATAGCTCAGTTTAAACGAGGTCACTCGTTTGAAATGTTAACCTGGCGCACCAGGTAAAACTTGTCAAGTTATGCAGATATACGTATTTCATTAACAAATTTTATATATCCATAACTTATGAACACAAGAGTAAAAACTATTCTGTCTTGGTTTCAATATTTATAACTGAAAGAGATATAAAAACTGGCGTTTCGTAAACATTCTTACCAACAAAAAATGGTATATTATTTTGTTATCAATGAACAAGTACAATTTTTTTTAGTTATTTGTGTTGTATTATAAATCTGAAACTAGGAGTTATCGTGTGAACATTCCGTACTTTGTAAACAAATGTTTAACAATGAAAATATCTTCTAACTTCAAACGGCCAGCCCCTGAAGAGTGCATTAGGGAGTTACGCGCCTAATATTGCTCACGATTAAACATTTTAATAATGTTAAGTGTAAAGCTAGTGTTTCTAATCATGCTAATGACATAGATGAAATTATAAAATCAATTTATTTTTATTGTTGAATATTATTCCTTCAATTAAGTTTACCTACTTGTAGATTACGTGTTACTGTTCTAATTCGGGTTACGGGTGTCGAACATTAATACTTATGAATCATGATGCCCCCCGAGGTGCATCAAACAGATTTACGAGACAAAACCTCGAAGTTCGTAGATCATGGCATATTTCGATTATCAAGTGCACATGCGATCTTCAAAGCACTTAACCTTAACTCGGAAACAAGGCATCCTAGTCTCGAATCCAGGTGGTTTTGTTCATCATCTACAAAATTAAACCTTTCTGGTTTCTATTACATTTTGATTCCGTTACTCCGCAGCTAGGGTTGTTGGAAACTTTGGAAAAACATTGGAAACTGCGGTTCTAATGAGAACCAACATTCATCTTTAAAACAATAATTTAAAGTTATTTTTTAAAAATTGCAATGTTTTGCAAAAAATATACTACAATCTCACATACATTTTCGCATTATTTCTGAATTTGCAATTTTCAAAACTTCGTAGAAGACCTTCTTTCAACACCTATCGTTAAAACACAGATTTCATTCAGGAAAAAAAATATTTCTTCAATTTTGTGGGAAGACGCGGGAAAAACTGCACTTTGGCAATTTTCGAAAAATCTGGGATGTTAATAAACATGAGACGTACACCATTCTCATTCTATTTCATGCTATCCGAGGACAAAGTTTAATCAAAAAAGTTGGTGCCACTTTTGAGAAAATATTGAAAGTATTCAGAAGCTGTTTTGCTATTGTGAAGAATAGAATCATACGAATTTATTTTAAATTGCCAGACAAAATTTAATAAAAACTACTTCTATTTTCACGAAATTGTATATAAAAGTATTTAAATGTCAACTTGTGAAGATATTCCACTAAAAAATGTATGTCATGAATAACAGTTGTTGGAAGATGCAGAAAAAATAGGAAAATTGTATTGCATCTTCAGTTTTTTAGAGCTCAGTGGATCGGAGGTTAGCTCTCTTGCTTTTAAAATCTGAATTTGCGCCTTCAATTGTTTTATTTGATTGGTGAACTTCGAAAGAGAGGAAGATCGTCAGTGTGCCGTGCCATACTTAGAGTATGTAAAAGAATCCCTACCTTCACAGAACCCCGGCAATATTACAAATCGTTCAACATTATCCTTCCTAATCAGATTCCATATTCTCTCAGGCCGCAAACAAAGCAACACTCGGATACGAATAATTCGTTGTCTTGTGTCATTCCCAGGGGGCAAATATGGGCATCAAAATCAGTAAGTAGTGATCAATTTAAACAATTACTTTCAAATTATAGTTTTTGGCGTTTGATTTCTAATAAATATCGTTAGTATACTGTAACTTGGTCATTGAGAAAATTGGAATGAGAAAAGTTATACTAAAAAAATGAAGCCATGATCCTCGATACATTCTACAATATTATTAGCGATTGTAAACTAAAATATTTTCAAATTCCGAAGGGGCTTACTTTTCTGCTTCCATTTCATCCTTCACTTCAACCAATGACTTGAGCATAGACGAAATCTGCTGAAGAGTGGACTTCCTTGCAGTTATCACCGGCTTCTCCACTCTGTGTGAGACAAGGACAATATATTTTCAAAATAATGATCTGAGATATTATTTTATTATCCGCACAGACAATACGAGGTAGATGAATTTTAAAATCGTTGACAGCTTCATCACCTTATCTTTTGTGTAATGAGAAAATTGACTCAAATTTTTCCTTATTTTAAAGCTTGTGAATCTGAGACAGAAGCGAACAAAAGGGGGATACCAGACCAAAGTTTTAGAGAACACATTTTACTGTTATTTGAAGAAGTCAGTTTTTAAAGTATTTCAATTTCAGTGATAAACCATGTCAATATGGAGGGGTCCAAAAATTTGATCTTCAAAATGTTGAAATAAATCTGGTCTGGTGATTTCAATGCCGTATTTTTATTTTTGTTTCGAATACTGAGAATTTCGTGATCTCGTCAAATTGTTGAAAAATATATTCTGGAAGCCTCAACAGAAGTAAAAGCTTAAAATTGAGTAAAATCATCAATATTTACGAAAAATGTCTTATATTTAGAGAATATTAATCCATATTTCATGAAAAATAATAAATAGAAAAAAGTAGCAAAGTTGAAAACAACTTTTTTTTGGTTCTGAAAATCTTGTCTGAGAGCATTTAATGGACCTCAATGGACTTAAACAGAACTGAAAAATTGGGTACAATTGCAAAAATTGGAGTTAATTTCATAAATGTTGTAAAACGTGGTGAAATGGGCCAAAATGTTGCAAATTTTACTAAAAATGTATATCTCAAAAATGTAAAACAAGATTTGTGTAAAAATCTGGTACGGTAGCCCCCTATTGTATACTACTTAAAGCTAAACTTTTTAATTAAGATATTAAGAACAAATTATAATTTTTATTTTATCTTTTAGAAAATACCGTATTAATGGATTTTCAAATTAAAAAAAATTAAAAGTTAGATTTAATTAAACATAAGAAATTTCCTTATACTTACACCTTTTCAAAAGGTGGTTCAAAATCGTCGTCAGGTATTTCTTCCAAGCCTATAGGCAGCTTTACTAGAAATTGAAAATGATAAAAATAAACTTTCGAAGAATGGCAGAATTGATGATATACAGTAGTGCTAAAAAAACGCATCACATAAAGAAAATGGGCGTTTATGTGCGTGTATTTCTAATCCAATCTGCTCTCAAACATTTTAAACAATTATAGAAAAAATTGGTAATCGTGTATTTTATGTACATTATATGATGTTTCTCATTCCATTATCTTCATAACTCGCTCGATATTTTGCAAATCAAATGGTGTATTTTTTTTTATTATGTTGCAGATTACAACTGTGAGAAAGATGATGCGGTTGTTTTGAGCACTACTGTAGAAAGATAATAGAAAGAAAATTATGATTTAGGATTATGATACTATATGTCTAGTTCAATCAATTGTACTTTATTAAATAACTTCTTATGATCAAAGAACATAATTGCTTCAACACTACACAAGTGTGAAAAAATGTTTGTTACTATGCATATTTAATATATCTCCAAGGGTTGGGATATGAGTCACCGCAACTTTTTGTTGTTTTGAGAATACAAGCACGGGTAAAAAATGTGAAATCCACACGTGAAAGGTATAAACTAAGTGCACGAACATTTTACGGCACGCCAAAATTGTGTTTCTCATATTTATTAATTTATTTTAAATTACAGTACTAGTTTCATGTTCCAAAGCATTTTGCATTTTATCATGTTCGAGTTCATACCATTCCAAAAGTATTACATTCCCGTTCTAAAGCCCAGATTAGTCGATTGCCAATTGCCACATCGGCCCCGATACCAAAATCAAAGAAACATCATAACTTTCTGATATGAGGGCGTGTGAAACTGTTGAATGTTATTCTTCACTTCCTGTTGTCATCACAGCAGTTTCCTAAAGCGGTTGTCGGTTAACATCAAGAGAAGCTACAGCAATTTAGGCATATTGGAGTTGTGAAGGTAAAGTCTAATTAATAGGAATTAGAATTATTTATTTAACATTATTTTGACGAAATGTGAAACTTGTTTATCTCCATCTATTGATGTATGTGCTGAAGATCTCAAGTGACTGTTTAAATATAACAATGGACCAAATAAATTAAGTCTAAGAACTGAAGTTCACGGAATGGGCTGTCACAAAGTAATCGTGAATGCGGATCCGCACAGTTGTAGTTGCTCAAGAATAGGGATTAGTCCTTTTTGCAAGCATTTAAAAAAATAAGTCGCATCAACGATTGCAACAAAAAATAAGTCGCAAGGTTATTAGCAACTAGCGACTGCAACTATACATAATATATTATAATCAAAACAGGATTTAAATTAAATAGTGAACACACACTTTAAACAATTATTAGGACAATATTTTACAATTGAGAGTCAGGCTTATAAATCATTATACAGTTTTAGTAATTTACATAATTTTAATATTTTTTACTGAAAAATACAAGTATTCTATGTTATTACATATCAGGTGACCAGGACCAGCGGTGCACGTTTATTCATCATTATCACTACCCAGCACATTTGCGACATTAACAAGTATGGTCGATTCTCACTTTCTTAAAACTCCTTCACTTGACTTGTCACAAGGAATTTTGAAAAACATTTTCCAATACATATAACTTTTTTGTGGTCAAATAGTCAACTTTCAACTTCTGAAGAATGCTAGTTGTAAAAACCTAAACGTACTCTTTTTCTGCCATTATATATTTATTATGAAAATGCAAATAATAAAAATAATAATAATAATAATAATAATAATAATAATAATAATAATAATAATAATAATAATATTGATATTATTGTAAGGCTGTCTGTGGTTACTAACTTCCCAGAACAAGGCACATGTTTCGCGGATTCCTCTGTATACACAAACGACTCAATATATCTGAGAAAGAAATCTTCTCTCTTTTAGGCAGACTAGCAGTGTCAATTATTTATAAATAAAATTAATAGCTGCATTTCGTCTGAATACTTCAATTTGAGGCTATTTATGTTTCTGGTATTCATAACATGATATGTCTCACGGTTGCTTCATGATGCACAATGTATCATGTTATTGATCCCCTCAGTTCGAACAGCCAGTCCGGCGGGCATCGGGTTGCCTACGTGCTCCGGTAAACAAACTATTTTTTTTAATGTAATGTGTCCTGCTTTGAAATTTCTCGGTACTATACAACATTAGTGAAGAAACACATGAGTATTTTTACAATAAATTTTAGTGTTGTCCTAATTCAAAAATTTGCGTTTTAAAAATTAAAATATATTTTAAATATTTAAATAATATGTTCACGTATTATATTCACTTAACAAAAAAGTAAATCTTTTTAATTTAAATTTAAGTGTATTTTTTCTGAAAGAAGCAGCATTTGCGCACATCTTGCAGCACTTAGCAAGCGCATGGTTCTTTGAAAAAAATCATTATTTCTGAAAAGGGTAGGATTAAAAACAAGGGGGAAATCGTATTTATTTTCAAACCTATAACGCATAAAAAAATTAAATTGCTAAAAAATAGTGATGTTTTGTGAATGACGATTTGACGTGGATTGACTCATACTCGTCTTATTAAAGGATTCTTTTCTACTCGTATTTCTTCCTTTCTAGATGTATATGTCATGCAAGTACCTCTTCTAAAATAAATAGAACAGTACACATTTAAAATAGAAAGAGACCCACTGAGCGACAATAAATATTTTTCAGGGTGTTGATATGGTTGCGGCAGCAAAAGAAATATGTCAACTCGAACAACTCCGCCCACTATAGCGAACTTCCTTAAATTTAGTTCACCAGGTAGATTGCCAGTGCATATGGTCTCTCTAAAAAGAGCATCTTCAATATCTGTAAATGAAAAAAATGTTATTTGTAAAATGAAGTTTATGAAATGAACTGCATATTTTATGAAACTTTAATTATGTATTAATGTCTTCAACAAATACAGTCGACTCCGGTTGTAGTGAACTCGGACATAGTGAACCATCAGTTATAGTGAACTTACATTAAAAATATGCATAAGAAGATTCGGTTATAGTAAACCTGAACTCAGTTATAGTGAACCTCGGTTTTAGGAAATACAACGACCTGGAAATTAATTCCCTTCTGGAAAAGAATATATCGCGTTAGCGCCACAAACCCCAATACTAGGCAACTTGAAAAAATATCGGCGAAAGGTCAGAACAATTCGCCCCTTAAGTGAACGTAGCGAACCCGGAATGAGGACCTCACTGATGACCTCATGCCACCCAGTTTCAAGCTTGATGTTAGGTGATGTATTTGCAGAACACAAACTACATTTTTCCCTGACTTCATATGCAATAGCTCGGTGGCCGCTAAGTGTATAATGATTGCTAACCTCCCACGCCGTAATTCGTCCAGCAAGGCTATCACACGCGAATGTCAAGTCAACGATGGAGCTGCGACCATTCACGGCAAAGATTGGACTGTTACCCGAGGCGCAGAGGTTGACGTCTAACCGGGCAAGGCTGCCCAGGAGAATCATCCAGCGTTGGTTCGTTACCCTGCGGACCTACTCAGTGTCCCATGCATTAAAATCCCCAGCAATAATAAGAGACCTCCGTTCTCTTGCATCAACAAGTAATCTATAGAGAAATGCCTTGAACTCCTCAAGAAACGCATTGGGTGCTGCATAAACCCTATAAAAATGTATACCGAACCCCTTTATCCCGGTGAATCCAACCCCTGGGACTTGCATAACTTCCTGGACTGGACTATTACCACAAAACCAGACCGCAGCTCTGTTCGTCGCGTCCGAAACCCATTATATACATACTACCTCACGCACGCACGCACGCGCGCGCAGACACATATTCTAATCTCAAGTCTTGGAAGCTGTACTTCAGGCTTCGACATCTAGCTTGATCATTGAGCTTCTAGAGATTCTTAAACCTCGTCACAATGTGCACGGCGAAATGAAGTTGTCTCATGCAATTCGCACATGTTTTGATAACGTCGTTACGGTTCACGAAAGAGAACCGCCTGCCCCAGATCCCCAGTGTACTAATAAGGAGTCCAAAGAGTCCGTCAATGTGGAGGTCTCTAAGAAGAATGAGACCAAAATGTTTATGGGGGAAAAAAGATGTCTGGAATTGTCGGGCTACCAAGGGCGGAGGAGTCGCCCACCTGAGTCTGGTGATGAACCAGCGAGCGAATGGAAGACCGTTGAGGCAAGGAGGGAGAAACCATCGCACTCCATTCCCGAGCGTCGTGATGTCTTTTTGGTGAGAGTCAAGGACGGAGCGACGTACGCGGAAATTTTGCGGCACATGAAGGAATCCCCGGAGCTCAAAAACTGGGCCTGAATGCAAATAAAATAAGAAAGAGAGGCACGGGAGATGGGAGCCGAGAGCTGCTCGAAGGCAGCGCAGTTTCAGACCGTAGTGGCCGATCAACTGCAAGAGAAAGCGGAGGTAAAGACATTGTCATGAGAGGTTCTCCTGGAGATTAAAGATCTGTATGAATTCTTGGGGTCTTTGAGAGACAGCTGGAGGGAGCCAAGGACTGGAAAGTAATAGTTAAGTCCATTCGCACTCCTTTGATGGCATCCAAACGGCCGTGATTGCACTTATAGCCAGAGAAGCGGTTAGAATTAATAAAATTCGGACTGGCTGGGCTCTACGTCCCATTCTGGAGAAGATAATTTTACCAAGTGTTACAAGTGCTGAGCCTTTGGGCCCCTGGCGCGAAACTGTAAAGGACCTGATAGGTCCAAAAATTGCCATCGATGGATTGAGGGAGAGCATTTTGTTGGGATTTGCATGAAGCCCCTTAATTGTTGCCTCTGTCAAGGAAAAGACAGAGAGACGCATGCAATTTGTAGCTATGTGTCCCTATTACCAAAAGGCATAACGGAATTGGAAGAACGATAATGGGGGTCCTAAAGCTCAAACTTAATCATTGCGAGGCGGCGGCGCAAGACCTTCTCATATATCTATATCTATATATATATATATATATATATATATATATATATATATATATAGATATATATAGATATATAGATATATATATATACACACACCTCATATAGACCTTCTCATATATCTCATATATATAGGCGTGCGTAATACGTGAGGTAGTAGTCACGGGAGGGCGCGAGTAGTAAAGACACAGTAAATACATTACAAATTGAAATTCATGATGTTGCGAGGTAACATTTAAATCGGTTTCTATATTTTATAAATACCTTCAAGTTATAAAATAGACCATATAGTTCCAAACTATACGCTTCTTTTACTAAACCTTATCCCACATATACATTCAAACTTCCATCACAATTGTGATGCTAATGTAGTGGCTAAGTAGTGCTAATAGAATGACTAAGCCTCTCTATCCCTGGTTCATAACATGGTTTTGACAAATTGATTTATGGTTATAATAAAATGCTTTATCATTGCTTTTGTAGTACCTATACCTTACTTTTGTAACACTGACCTTAATATGATTTCATTTTAATATTTCACATACATAATTGTGTTACTTTTATCCTTTCAGAGGAAACCAAATTATCACAATTTATTCTCAAGTAACAATTCAATGCTTTAACTTCCCTTACATTACTTCAGAAAATGCATAAATGCATTGATTTCTGGTCTAGTGTAGTTTTATAGTCTAATACCATATGGTATTAGATTTAATGACAGCACATACCAATAAATAGACATTTTAAAAGAGTGGGACAAACCTCTTTACGGTCAAATCTCCTTCTCCTTACATCCCACATAGACTGGCAACATGTGTAGATATCGAAGGAGAAAACGACTACTAGCTTATTTAAATAAGATGTTTCTGAAGAACAACTTAAAAAGAAAACGTGAAAACTTTCATTGCTTACTCCCTAGATATGTTGTGCAATTACAATATATAATATTGTAATGAGACCGTATTTACCTTCTTCCTCAGAAAATAGAACCGAACAAGTTTTGTTCAGAGGAATACTTTTTAGCTTTTCCAATGTGCGAAAGAACTCTTTTTCTGGGCCGGCTTTTTTCGAGGACCCCGATTTCCGTGAGGCTTTTGACGCTTTAGATCCTCCAGACTTTTTGGAATCTGACTCACCATCCTTAGATCCTACAAGCACAAAATTACCTTAAGTACTCTTCACGATTGAATCTCTCAGGTATTTTCATAAATTACTATAAGCTGGATAAGAACTGACCTGATTTGGGCAGTGCCAATTGGGTCACATCAAGGAGATTCAGTTCACCCATGAGATTTTGAATAAGTTCTTCGCGTCTTTGCCTCGCCTTTTCCTTAACATCCTCCTCTTTGTTGTCTTTGCCCTTTTTGCCTTTGCCGCCTTTCTCTTTTCCTTTTGTCTTAGCTTGCTCAGCCTCGGGAATTTGAATATTTAAGTCTGTAGCTTGAGCAATGAGAGCATTTCTAAGTTGTACTAACTTTGTAAGTCTCGTGTTCACTTGTTCTGACTGGATTTTTATCATACGTTCTCTTTCATATTCAGAGCGCTGGGACATGTCTGAAAACGAAAAAACAATACCTCCATGTCAGATTCAACTTAACAATTTATTAAATTGATAATTTTTTAACAGTAAGATAATGAAAGTATGGAGGTAATCGAGTTTTGTAGACTATTAAGTGTCTACGTAACGTAAGAGCGAAGGATGGTCATTAGCTAAATACTTTGATTTTTTTAATTAATCACCTTTTAACTTTAAGACGTGTCCCGACGTAATAAACACATTCTCGAATCAAAAACCAGTTCTTAAAGTAGATTTGGAGTGAAATGTAAAATATGCAGATTCGAAAGTGATATATATTGGGCAAAGATGAAGATCCTTGTTTCGTATGTACAGAAGCGCGCCCTTGCTAGAGGCTGAAGTGACTTCAGTCCTCTGCCTCAAAAAACCGATATCACATGATCACAAATAGTTTTTACCTATTATCTACAGTAACTAACATAACTTAAATCCTTCATTAAAAAGTGATTAATTACTAAAAACCAATAAAGTTTTTAAGCATCAATAAAGATTCTTCATAAAAAAGTCAAGTAAATTTCAAGTCGACTGGACACTACACACGTACCTCTACTGCCGAAAACCGGTGTTGCGTCTCTGGGTTTACATTAATACAATACAAACATATACTAGTGAAAATAAACTAATTTTATACTTGATAATACGTTTCTCGGTTGTTTCAAGCAGGCTGCATCAAACAATCTAACCCTTCAGTGGTTGCGCATTTCAGAGTAACACTGTTGATCGCGCGGAACAAAATGGTGATTAAAAAATATTTCGCATGTATTTTCTACAAATCTTCATTTTAAATCCTGATTTCTATTATTTGGATGAATGTTTCTAAATTTAAAAGGAAATAATCACGCGTAATAAGGAGGTGTGAATCGTTTTTGGGGTCAAAATGTCGACTTTTGTTCTTTTGTGTTTTTATTTTCCCTAATATTTGCTGTTTAGAATGAGACATAAATCAAGTTGCTATTACAATGGAACTATTAATTTGTGTATGAAAGTAAAAGCGGGACGTCTTTTCTGCACATCCTGTGTCTGGAAACTTGTTGACAGCTGGTGCAAATAAAAATAGCATATATTATATATATATATAATATATATATATATATATATATATATATATTATTATATATATATATATTATATATGCTTTTTGTAATTGTATTTGTTCTTTTATATTTCTCATTTGGCACTGGCAAAATAGGCCCAATTGTACAATAAAGCTTCAAACCATCTCTCTATACTGCTTCCGAGAGGCTAGCGTGTCGCATTATATAGGAGGGGTGCGTGGACCGATTGTCCTTCGGCGACCTATAGAAGGATAGCAGGTGGCCCGTGATTGGCGCAGAGGGATAAAAGCAATCCCGGGAGACCAGATAATGTGAGGGGACGTAGGGCGGAAAGAGAAGTGTGTTCGAAAGGGAGTTTCGAAAACTGAACAGGTTGACATCCGGAAGATGCATCTGCGTGGTCAAGGACGGGATAAAATGCCAAAATCTATAAGATTACGTAAACGCAATGTTGACCTATTGGTTTGTTGTTGTTGTTTTTTTCAAAAATTACATCATTTTTTGTCTCTCAAGTCATTAATATTTACATTAGCGGCTATTTGTTTACATTAATGTATTAACGAGCACATGTGGTTTAAAAAAGTCAGATAAAATTGCTTGATAACTCAACCGTTTTCTGTAAAAATGAGCTCAAAACTTCGCAATTTTCAGAAACATTCAAAAGGCTTTTTCTCAAAGATTTCTCCGCATTTTTCCTCAAACTTTTCCAACGGAAGACATATAATTAAATTTGCTGTTTTCTTTTATTTCTTAAAAAATTACACAAATGTAACTGTTTTGAAATATCCCTGGCACCTTAACTATGCATACATTCATCAATTTGTAAACACTATAGCATTTGTGAAGGGCCTGAAATGGCTTCATACGATGTTTTCGAAAACTCAATAGTTCTCTGTGAAAAGAGGTTGAATTTTTCAATTTATAGTAACGCTTAAACGCTATTTTCGTAAAAACGTCTCAAAACGTTTCAAAGAAAATTGCCATTTAGAACGAGGTTTTAAGTGACAACAGTATGTCGCAAGTCCAAATAGCTAGTCGAGACCAATGGAAATAGAAAACTAATACGGGAAACTCTGTGCTATTCTGAAGCACCACTAGTTTTGTATTTACTTTGTATTCTATTTACATTTGTAGACTGATGATGAAGGCAAAACCGTCGAAAGCCCGCTCTCTAAATAAATCTTTTAAATTGACGGAGATGACCTTCATTATTTCTTGATGTAATTATGTCAACAATTACACATCCGCATTCCCACAATCCAAAAGTCTTACAAACTGTCATCGGCTATCAAAATACAATACCTGCAACACAATAATGTGCCTTGCATAACCACTGGAGTGTTAAACTTATTTCACGCACTGCAAAACGTCGAAAATTATTTTTCAAATAGATTAGATAAAAATGATCGAGCATTCAAATAATCTGGTCAATTTAAATGTACTGTTTCATATTCGGCTCTCACAGACCGGCGCGGGAGATCCGCAGCGGGTGCGGCGCGGAACGCTCCGCGCGAGACGCGCGGCGGAAATCGCGACTGCCCAATGGAGCGTCAGATAGACAGCGTCGGCATCAGCCCGAGCGTCTTTCCGTGAACAGTTTACGCAACTAAAATAAACAAAAGCAAGGGGAGCGAGGACTCCCGAAGGCGGGCGGACTTCGAAATCGAGCGGCAGCGGTCGAAGCGCGTCGACTGCGTTCCCAAATCGCAGGTAAGAAAACGCCATGTCCGGCAGATCTGAACGTGCTCATAGGGCGACCCGTGACGCGAAATTTACTCTGCGGCCATTCCGCCTAGGCTGCGGGTCTTCCGCGCCGGTCTGTGGGAGCCTACACTAAGATTGCTGATAAACAAATATCTATTCTTACAATATCGTTTCTTCGATGAACAACACACCTTGCTTCATATCTTCAGGAAGTGGAACAGGTATGCTCGAATGACACAAGGTGCTGAAGTGATCGTAATTAACGAACAGTCCTCTCACAACAAGATCAATTTTGGTTAGGTAAGCGGGTATCATAATGGTTACCCCAATGTTATCGAAAACGCATTCTTTAGCAGTCCTGTTTTAAAAACAGAATTAAAAATAACCAAACATGAAAACAGGCGAATCCAACCCGTGTGCCGCGTCACTGCAGACACCGTCATCTGCAACGAGGCGAGATGTTGCGTTTGCTCCACGTTTTCGATGATACTGTCAAGTGTATATAAAAAATAGCTTGTCATACATTAGAGAACTGAGGTATGTGTTTTTTAATTATTCCTTGAATTTATTAAATCTACTGAAAATCACTTTTTGTTTTCATTGAGTTTTAAAACAAAATATATAACAATAAATGTAAATTCCATATATAATTTCATAATAAATTCCGTATATATCAACAAAAGCTGAATACAAAACCACATTTTGGAAATAAACTCTTGAAATGCTCGAATTATGGTAGCACATCTTTAGATGAACTTGAGTATTGTGATTTTGATAAGCAGAAACTATAAATTAGATTCCCTGCATTTTATATCCTTAATATCATGTCACAAGCTAAGAGCAATTTGCAGCTAAAATGTTCGTTCCTTATAATCCTCAGAGTATTGATTATTTTTAGTCGGTACAAATCGAACGGTACTTTTGGCAGTGATTTTGTCGAGCAACAGGCTGGCCAGCGCATTGAGGAATCTTGTACAGTAGGGGAGTTAGTAGTTGGAATGTACTACCATTAGTATACTACCGCATACATTCGTATATGGATACTACCATTAGTTCATCAACATGCCATGTTATAAATATTATCTAATGACGCGCGACTCATCACTCCGTTACGCCAATTTTTTCCGAAGTATAGTTCAATCACACAGCACTTTTTATACGTTTTTTGTTATTTTTTAAATTTAGTATTAAATATTTTTTAAGAACTATTGTGGGCCCTTTGACATTTGGGGGGCCTGGACCCGGGCCCTTCGAGCCTATGCGTTAACCTGGCTCTGGACACGGGCCTGCCTCCTTCACATTATTGTCCGATCCAGTATCTTCTATTGCAGTAATTATTCTTGTAACAGAAGGTATTGCCAGATCCCCACCTAGGCCTCTCCCGCCTTTGACAGTTGTGTCGACTCCTTATTTTGGTGGCGATGCGAAAAACGGGTGGTGGATCTAGGCAGAAAGAGTAGGACACCTAAACTTGAGTAGAAAAAAGAACTGCGAGTGATTCGCATGTGGAAGCAATCATTGTGCAATTATCGTCTAGTCAGAAACGTAGGATTTTAGAATGCAGTAATTTGAATGAACAGTGATTTAAACGCTATTCGAGTCCTGCCTGGGCATGGTTTTGTAATGTGTTTTTCGTCCTCCCTTCATCAAATCATATCGTTCCATCTTCATCAGTTACATACCTTCAGAATAGTGGTCGCTAATTGCCTAGTTGATGCGACCCTTAACAAAAAAAAAAAAGTGATTTAAAGGTACGTTGAACTGTTCGAGTTTGTAACAGTGAAACACGAAAAACAGCCAAGAAGTTACGATCTAGTATTTCGGATGAGAAGAAAACTTTGATGGAATGACTGCTCTCGAGCAAAGTTCATCGCACTGAGCGTACGAACTTTATTTAAATTTCACGAAAGCCCAAATCGTAAATAAATCGCTCGAGTAGAGTGTCGCTGCTAGCGAAAAAATGCCGAAAATAGTGTGATTATGGGGTTTGTGGCATCTCTAAAACCAGTTTAACCTTAAACCACGATTTTATTGGTACCTATTTTTGTTCTTGCATCAGAAACTAACTTTTTTCACTACACCCTTGACTTCTATTTTTCGATACAGCCTAATATATTCATATATGAATTAAAGAACAAATTCCATTATTCATTACTCACGGATTTGGTTCAATCATAGGCTTGGGCAATGGTAACTTTGTCCAGAGATATAACTTAAAGTTTTTGGCCATCAGGTTATAATTATATTCATTAAGTCCTTCAAGTTCCATATTATCTTCAACAAAGCGTATTAGTCTATAAGTAGCAACATCAAAATGATGTTGTAGTTCAGAGCAAAAGTTGGTGTGCACCTGTAAATTAATATTGTTGAAGGCGAGTTGATACATGTTCTATGTTTAACATTTTTTAATGTCACCTTTCCCATTTGGAAGGATGGGGCTAGATTTTCAGAGAAATTTCCTGACAGTTTTGGTATGTATTAAGAATTAGAGACCAGATGTTGAGCACTAAAATATTCCAAACGTTTAGTGCAAAAAGTCACTGAATATATTAAAAATATGCTCTGAAAGAGACATAATTTGGCTTTCATTTTGTCATACATTAAAAATGCACATTATATTTTATGAATAATATACTTCAAAATTAAATAAATATGTAAATGATGTTTAAATTACCTTATTATAACGTTTGAAAATTAATTTTGACAACTTACTTTCTTTATTGGATACAGTTCTAAAGGAAAAACGTACCAATTGATATTGGAAATATACCACTTTCACAAAGCATATCGTAGATGTTTGCAGTAATTAAGAAATTGTAATTGATTGTAAAAGATTATTGACACTTCTTTAAACGTCTCATTTTTTAATGGTCGTGTTCTTTAAACGTCTCATTTTTAATTTGTGACTTCTAAAAGACAACACACTTCTAAAACATGATGAAATATCTGGCGCCAGGGCAATATGCATACTAAATTAAAACTAACAGAGGACTTAAGAAATACAACTGAGAATCCAAGCGATTATTCCAATTATTCAGAAGAAGATGACAAGTAATTACACTATTAAGCAATATTATCACTCATTAATTATTTTCACGTGTGGTTTCTATTAATTACTCTATTATTTATTGTAATTAATCGTCTATAGTGTCCTGTTATATTAAAAGTGAAAGCGGCGCACATATTATTAATGATTATTAATGTAACATTAGCTACAGTTGGCAAGAGTAACCCCCTCCCCCGCACCCCCCGCTGTGACGTCGCGCGACGAGTAGGCAACGCCATCTTCCTAGAGGGCGCTGCTAGTAGGTCACCTACAAGACATTTGGCATTCTGCAATATGGCGAAATGCGCAAGTGAAGTAAGTCTTCTATGCAAAACATCTTTGACCTACTGTGAAGCCTCTTCATAATGATTTACCGGTGTGAACAAGTTCACTTTCATATAGCTTCTTCACCTCTTATAGTCCCCTTCAATGGATGTCATCCAACAGAATTAAAGAAATGCGAATTAATACACGAAGTCCTACATGGACATTGGGAATTGTGTAATATCCACAATAATATGGTAAGTTCCTATTTTGTGTATTAGAGCGGACATTTTTAATTATTAACAAAAATGTCTAAGCGAATGCTTAGCAGTAAGTCTGGCTTACGATGAGTCTATTGATATGAAGAATAAACCATGCCTAAGCAACATTTGTGAGGTACGCGGCAAAGGGCTTCGAGGTGGTGGACGAACTCTGAGACCTGGTTACATTGAAGGACACTACTCGTGATTCTGAAGCCCTGGATGGTCTTTTACAGAAAAACGCAATGCTATCGCTAATATTGTCAGCATTGCTACCGATGGTGCACCATCTATGACTGGCACGAAACAAGGGCTTATTGCGCTTTTAAATGCTGACACATCATTTGCTGAGTTCCTACCTGTACATTATTCACAGAGAACATTTAGCAGCAAAATATTTTCAAAACCCGCATATTATGTAGGTAGTCCTAAAAAGTGTGAATTGTATTCACTCAAGTGCCAAAACACATTGACAGGTTTATTACATTTTAGTCACTGGACACATTTTTACGTAAACGATTTTTTCTTGTTGAGCTGAAAACATTAATATTTGAAAAATATGTTTGATATTTAATTACTGAAAAATAAGGATTTATTTGTATTTACATGTTCTGTGTTACAGAATGCTAATAACAGAAATTATTTCACAATTAAAATAATGAATTTCTCATTGCAACATTCTCTACTTCATTAGCACGACAAAAATTGTATTTTTCTATTATAGTGTATTCAATGTTTATAATTGATAATGTCACAAATAAGTTGAAGCCAATATCATTAACATGAACAGAACTTTGTATTTTCAATACATAAAATGACTTACCTCTTTCCAGTTTTCTCTTAATCTAGTATTTGCTTCTAATGGGTAGTCAATGAATTCTTCCAGAATATGTAACAACTGAAACCAAAGTAACATCATTTTTTCATTACAACATTTTAAATTTATTATTTCATACTCATGTGTGAGAGATAATTTCCAAAATACTTTCGTTATTGACATCTTCCTTTTTAAATCTAAAACTATCATTCACATGTCATTTAAAATCTTACCGACAAAACTTCATCTGTTCTCTCTGGAATATTTTTCATCTCATATGAATCAAAATTAATGTGCCATTTATGCAGATAAGTATTCATTTCGGGAACAATTGGCGGATTTGGAAGTCTATCTTCTTTTATATATAAATTCCACTGTAAATATATACAAAATATCAATAAAACCACAGTAGAAAGTGGTGTGGTGTTTAGGATATTCTTGTTATAGAATTTTTAAATTGAAATTGTAATAATTAATTCACTTCATTAATTATTACGATGAAACTATTCCTATACAGTATTTGAGTAACTGCAAGTGTGCGTGCGTGTGTGTGTGTGTGTGTGTGTGTGTGTGTGTGTGTGTGTTCAGTTCCGTCATCCATCCGTCCATCAATCCGTCCGTCCGTCCATCAATCAGTCAGTCCGTGAATAGGACTAGCACCTAACTGCAATTTTTTCCAAAATGGACATTCCCCGGTCGATCTGATTCCACTCAAGGCACAGCATTTTTGAAAAACGTTCTTTGAATGAATTATATACGAGTTTCTCACTAACTATGAGCCACGAGAAAAATGTAATGAATGACATCAAAAATAATTAATTTAATTTTAATTATAATTTCCTGCTGGAAATGTCAATATTAAGCCTAATTTTCTTTCTCGCTTTTTTTTACTTTTTACTCAATGTCTATTCTCAATGTAGGGATGTATTTCTTTCCAAGCTATCCCCAAACCTTAATAGAAATTTTGCAATAATGCCGCATAGATTGAGAAGCACTTCAGTAGCACTTATTGCTTTTATTATTATTATTATTATTATTATTATTATTATTATTATTATTATTATTATTATTATTATTTAAAAGAGAAAGGAATTATCACATAAAGAACTATAACATTTCGGAATTGAAAAAGTTTTGTCATTCTTATTGAGAAAATTGTCTTAAATTACCTACTTTATTTAAATTTTATTAGATTACCCAAAAAAGTAATAGAACTATCAGTAGAAATCACAAAACAATTTAGATTTTCATACAAACTGTATGAAGAGTGTTCAAGATATATTTTATTTTTATTTAATTAAAACTTATCTTCACAGATAATGAGGACTGAAGTTTGAAGTTAATAAAATAATATAAAGGACTGACACAGGATACGGATGGGGAGAGTGCATGGAAGCCACACAGACATAAGCATTTTTGTAATACTACTTAATTTATTCATACAATTGTCGCATTGATCACATTACATGTAAAAAAGAATTCCTGTTACGGTTAGTTATTGTTTTACTTAACAATATATGATTTTTCAATTTTAATTTTAATTATCAATATGTTCGTTTCTTTTCAATTTCACAATTTCAAAAAAGGTTATTTGGCAGGCCTATTTCAAATTTATGGAAAGGTGAGATTCAAACTGAAATCCACCCATCTCCAAAATACCTTCTATCACGAATCTATCCCTGGCAAGGGGTTCACTTCAAATTACCTCTCTCAAATGTCTTGCTTGTAACTCTTCATCCAACATAAGATCTTCCAAAGCTGCAAACTTATTTAATGAGTTGTGCAGTTGAACAATTCTTGCCTCATGTTGTTTGGTATCGGATTTAATCTTTTCTTCATTTCGTTGAATTTCATATTCAATAAATTGCTTCTGTTCTTCTATAAGTTGTTCTCTAACCAAACAGAAAGGCAACAGGAACATATTAAAAAGTAAAAAAGAAATAACATAAATATTGTTTTAATGTTAGCACTGCATTTGTACACATTACATTTTCAATGATTTTCATTAGTTATTTGCACAAAGTTATACCATATGGATATTACATTATAGTCAGGATTCTTTGCGATTAAATTGAAAATACAGTTCTTGCTTTTTGGGAATACTATTTTAATTTTTTCTCCTGATAATATAAATAGTATGATTTGCGAAGAAAAAATTCAAGCTTTCTAACTTCCTGTTTGTTTCATTAGTTGCCTACGTAGCCTTTGTCTCATAAATTCACGAGGATAAATTCAAGATAAACTTCATTCTACAGTCCCGAATGATAGTACTGAATTTTAAAACACGGCGACTGTCCTAGCCGCTGTATGCACAGCTGCCTTTGAAGTTGGCGCGCGCGCTAGAGTCTATTTCAAAGGGTGCAAGGTAGCAGGACGCTAACCGCTTCGACAAGCAGCGAGCCGCGGGAACGAGTCTGCGACAGCCGGGCCACGGGTATATTGTATAACGGGCGTCTCAGCACCCGGGAAGACAGAAGTGATTGAGTCCGAGCGTCGACGTCAAGTGGGTGATTATGTGACAGTTACGCTGACCGCACCTCTAAGTACAGTGAATATACCTGAAAATCCTGTGAATCGGCTTCGATAGGTACTTCTTCTGGCGACACTAACTCGGCAACGAATCATGTACTCTCTTTTGGCAACTGGAATTTCGTCATGTCTTTGCATATTCTCGAGAAGAGAGTGTTTTGTAAATTGTAAACTGAATAAACTATTTTAGGTGAAAATCTCACATAAACCTCACTTCCACCCTTTTTCATACATTGCATTTCTTGTGGGAGGAATGTGACTGTACTTAAATTTTGTCGTGTGAAGTTTGTTAATGCAAAATTGATTTCTGCAACAACTCGAAAGGAAAGTGTTCAGTCTCAGTCAGGTATATCAACAGCTCTTATATCACATAATAGGTACTAAAACTTCAAAACCTATTGTTTCCTGAGTTGGAAAGACAATACGACTGAATTTATGGAATCGCAAAAATGACTGTCACATACACACACAACTTGTGTTTACACGGTTATGAAGTTTTCCTTGATATCAAAATCAATGCAGCTAAAACCCGTCAATATAAATGAGATCGGCATCCACGCTTTGCTGATGAGGATTTGGGCGTAGAAGAAGCTCGAATGCAGATCAAGAAATTAGTCATTATTCCTCCCATGACCCGTAAAGTATTAAATCAAAGTGTTCACATTATGATCGGCGTCTTGTCAAACATGAACTGACAATGCTTCTTTATTTAACAGAACGTAAGACGTTTCAAGTTAGAAAGTTTCAAAGTACGATGAAGCGAAACCAATATCAAATAAGATAACAAGAAACTTCTTGTATAAATATGCGCTAACCCCTGTCAAAGGGATGAGAAAATAGACTTAAGGGCCGTCCATAAATAACGTAACGCTAAAGAGCGGGGCAGGGAGCTTGAGACAGCGTTACACTGCGTTACATAGCGGTAGGGGGTCCTAGTTTAGTGTTTCAACATTTTCTGAAATAATTTCTTTCATTCGTTCTTATACTAAAATATTTTCATTATAACTAATTAAATTTAAAATATAATACATGAAGTTATATTCCATAACTTGTTACAATACATGAAAATATTTTTCATGGATGGTATATTGATTGAATCTTTTAGATATCGAAGAAAATACTGATCAACAGTATATAGCGGTACCTCATATAAATAAAACTGATATACAGTATACTCTAGAATCCCATTAGTTGGCACAGTAGACTCGGAGCTCATGCGTCATCCACGACGGCATGTGCACGGCTTGCCAAAACTTTTCTAGCCTATGCGTCCTTCTTGCATTTAAAAAAAATTGTCCCTTATAGTTATGCGCTGTCCGCACCAACCAATTCTCACATTAATTATAATAGATTTTAATGTATAACACAAATACAATTAATACAACTCGTTTCTGCTTTATGATTGAGTTTTACGTATTGAAATTGGAGGGGGGAGGTCGCAAGCGTTACGTAATTATTACAGGGGGAGAGTGGGTACTCAAAATACTCCAAATGTGCGTTACGTAATTTATGGTCGGTATGCGTTTGGTAAGTTATGTCCTACTGTCGATAAGACGCCTTGTGCCAACGATATACTTTCCTCTCTTTCTTCTCTCAATTGAACCGTTCTTGAGTTTTGAAATTCGTGACTCAAACAATAAAGACAACGAATCTGGTACCACCTATTTAACATCATTTAAGAAAGGTTTGCAGGTATCCTTTATTTGATACACCTGTGAAACTGATTGTTTTAGCCTCTGATACGTGCATCTGCGATATTATATTTCTTGTTTCGATACCGGATATCAATTAATATTTTATATTCAACATGTCCAAAATATACAACAGATGTTCTGTTTGCTGTCTGTTATCACTATGCCTTCTTTTGAGGGACGCACGATTATACTGTGAGGTATCGGGTCAATAATCTAACTGTATTCGCCAAATCAAATCAAATAAGAAAGTGGCATTCATCAGAGATGCCTTCAACGTACAAGTATGAACTGCATGGTCTCATCAACATTAATGGCTAGACAAAAATTCCTTTACTTTTTATTCTAGTTTTTGTTAGTATGCACTATTTCTTTTGTAAGAAATGGTGGTACCATGCTTCTTTTGTGACTAAATTATTGTTAGCAATGCATGTTACTCTGTGATTCCATTCACACGGGTGTTTTTTATCCGCTTTCATTAATTATTGATGATATTAAATCGAGTTTGTTACCAAAGCATATAACCTACTGTCACTCTTACCTGAACTTTCAAACGCGAATTTAACCTCAGAAAGTATTAGAACATTATAAATAAAAAGCGATTAAACACTAATGACCTTAAGAATTCAAAAATACCACATTATAGAGACCATTAGTAATTTCGGGAAACATCAGAATAAAAAGGAACATTTGGTGAAATTTTAAAATCTCGTAGCTCTGTTACTATTTGCGAAGAAATAGTTTATCGAGCAAACTTGTTGAGCATTTTATGACCTTTAAAATGGTAAATATATTTGCGCTAAGATTAGCCATTAAAACGTTACTAGCGACACTAGCTATTTGTCACGTCTCCGTGAAATTATTTAGAAATTATTTTCTTTAAGAGACCTTGTTTATAAACATTGGTTGCGTGTGAGAGCCGCAAAAGGTATGTACACTAATGAAATAATATAGGAGGCGAAACTAATTACGGCAAATAGTGGTTGGTTGATTGTTAGTGATACCGGGCGCATCAACTACCGGAGTCGTTAGCCCCTTAAGTGTAGTGCATGTTTTGCTCGGAAGGTGGCAGTTGTCTTCCTCCCCTAGATGGCGATATCGGCCGCGGACATATCGTTTACCATCGGGGTTTCCCCACCAGGTATCTCCTACCAGTGGGGCACCGCCCTAGCCAGGACAAGCTCTAAGCTTCCGACCGGTCTCCCGAGGTGGGTAATAGTGTAGTGTATGTTAGTGTAAGTATGTGTTAGGAGTGAGAATAGGGCAAGAAAGAGAAAGGAAAGATCTCGTGCGGTCCATGCCCGTTTGTTAGGGTACTGCTCTGGCATTCACCTGGTGTTGATCGGCGAAACCACGGAAAACTATCGACCAGAACAACCGACCTCAAGAATTCTCCTCCTGACACCAACTTAATTCGACCTAGCTCGAGATCCGGCGCCGACCTACCGTCGGCTAGCGGAGTTTTCCCCAACCAGGTATCTCCCACCAGCGGGACAAGTTCTAAACTCCTGACCGATCTTCCCGCATGTGTAATGGTGTAGTGCAGTGGCATAACTAGTCCCTCCGGGATCCCGGTGCGAAAACTAAATGGACCCCTCTCCAAAAAGTTTGTCCAACTAAAAGAGGCGTCATGAAAAGCCATCAGAATCAATCACAAAAATCAGACTCGAGTCCTGAGGAATTTTGCTTTGCCGAACGTATCTACTTGTATAACGTCACCCACGTTCGCTTTTAATGAGTTTGGCCCTTTACTCTCTATGGACAATATATGCCATGGTTTTATTTTTAATATTTTTAGATGGGGCCTCGGGGAGGGACCACCGTGAGAGCTTGCATTTACATCTTTTGACTTTAGACTTCCTTTATGTTCTAATGAAATGTTTCAAATCACAGATAATGAAACCCAGAAAAATGCTCCCCAAAACTTTAAATGAACTATAAATAATTGGGGCTCTACGATGTCAAATTACAAATTTGGAAAACATCTTCGTGTCATCATTAAATATGAAATTCAAACTTAACACAAGTTGATTTATACAATTAAACAAACCGCTTTCATAAGGTACATTTAAATTGTATTCAGTTAGACAAAAATAAAAAAATTCTTCTGGACCCCCAAGATAATTGCACAAGTCGCGCCGGCGTTAGTTACGCCACTGGTGTAGTGCATGTTAGTCAAGTGTGTGTAAGGTTGAGCATTTAAGAAGAAAGAGGTAGGAAAGATCGCACGCAGTTCTTGGCCGTTTGTTAGAGTACTGCTCCGGCATTCGCCCGGTTTGATCGAAGAAACAACGTAAAGCTACCGATCAGAGCAGCCCGTCGCTAGAATTCTCCTCCACACAGCGACTGAATTCCACTTAGCTGACAATCTAGTGTTGAAAATCTTAATCCTGCCACCGCAACCGTCAGGGCTCGGACCTACAACCTGCCGGTCAGAGGGACTGCAGTAACAGCAGTGGATGCCCTAAGCCATCCCTCCCGGTGACGTTTAAGAGAATGGCTTAGGTCTCATTGGAAACTGATTTTTCGAAAATTGATTTTTTTTTTGCGTCTTTCAACAACCAAAATATTAAAAATAGAGTTTTACCTTAATAATATCTGTTATTTAAAGATTGATTTTGAAATAAGGTCATTTATAATTTTTCGACAATGAGTATTTTTCACATACTTTTGCGTGAAATATAGGCAATTTTTAATTTTTGTTTAAACAATTTTTTCCTCGAAATCGGTTCCATCGTTTTTGATGAAATTTTTTTGTTGGATAGTCTGAACGTCGTTTAAGATAATGGTTAAAAACTCTAATTTTTCGAAAATTGAAAAAAATGAACTTTTTCGGCGCCTTCCTATAACTACAATTATGATGATACATTTTATTCTTAACGTCGAATTATATTATTACATAGTCATTAACAATATCGCGAGAAAGTACGTGGTATAGAGAAGAGGAAGGATTTTACAAAACTCGTACGCTGGAAATTGCGGATTTTCGGCAAAAAAGCTCTTATTGACGGGTCCTGGTAACGAAAAACTTCATAAATCCTGTTCCTGTATATAGTAAATTACTTTCTTTAACCCGTGGGGTGGTCAAAAACCATGTTTTGTGGGTCCTTATTGCCGAAAACTTGATTGACGGCAATGGATTACCTGTCCGTCCGGGTTCGACGCTAGCGCCTAAACCATGTAGCCAATTTTCTCGAAAATGAATATACCCCGATCGATCTGAACAAACTAGAAGCTTTTAGAATTTCAAACGCATATTTTGATTGTTTAAGAGTACTTTTCATCAAGTCTCAAAAACTGTTTCAAAAATTGTCTCAAAAATGATGCAAAAATGGTGCAGATCTGACGTTTCGCTAAAATTCCCCATTATTGCAAAAGTACCATTTTTTGGAATGTCTTTCTACAACTACAATATTATAGATAAAGGTTTTTCGTAATAAAATTGTTTTTTAAAGACATCTTGAAATTAGGACATGTACAGTTTTTTGAAAATGGAAGTAGTTTTCATTTAATATTGCACGAAATATAGGCAACTTGTAAATTTTTATTAAACAATTTTATTACTATTACTATTATTATTATTATTATTATTATTATTATTATTATTATTATTATTATTATTATTATTATTATTATTATTATCATTAATTAAGTCTTGCCAATATAACTTTTTCATAAAGTTTGCCAAGTAGGTGGGTGCTAGGTCGGTAATTCCTATCATCTTGTATATTATTATTCTTAACAAGTGGTTTTACAATACTAATTTTTAGGGATTCTGGGAAAGTGAATACAAATTGAGATGAATTTATTAAGTAAACCAATATTTGAGAAGAACAGGCTCACATTTTTTAAGACTTTTTTGAAGATATTTCACCATTCTCCGATGAGCAACTATTTTTGAAGGAATTATCAGTCGATTAATTTCAGGAGCATTGATATAGAAATATAGATTTTGAAGTTTCAGAAGATAATGATTTACTAGTATTACTTGTTACTGTGCCCTGCTTTGAATTTAGGAAATGACAGTTAAAGGTCCGACAAATATCAGAAGGATTATCAAGAAACATGCCTTCATGTAATAGGTTTATTTTTTTGTGAATCTGAGTTTTTCCAATGTTGATTATATTCCACAATGTTTTAGATTTGTTTGTTGAATTGTTAACTTAATGCTTCAATTGGTAAGCTTTCTTATTCATAAGTTATAGCCCGTATTGTTTTTTATACTGTTTATACTTCTCTTTATAAAAGAGGTTCTTAGTATCTCTGAACAGGTCTTACATTTTTTCATTTTATTTCTAAGAACAATAATTTCATAAGAAAGTTTAATTTTGGGTTTCTTTACTACATTAATTTGCCTCTTAATAATGGATCTTGCATTGTTTAAATGATTATTTAATGTACTCAAGAACAATGACATCACAATGTCATGTTCAGTTACACGTGATAGGTACCAATGAACAATGATTTTTAGCACTCAATTTGTTGAATTTGACTGGGCTATAAGTCCTTGTTTAAAATGTTCTTTTGAGAAGTATAAGTGGCATCAAATATTTTTCTGAGCAGATAGATTTGTTTGACATCATTTTCTGAGAAGAAAATCAAATTTAGAATTTCCCATCCCTAAACAAAAAAAAGGTTTCAATAATAAAGAAATAACTTGAATTACAGGAGCCCTTCCAATGAAGACCGCTCCAGGGCCCCCACAAAAGTTAATCTGGCCGTGAACATAAGCATTTTGTATAACATCCAGACTCAAATAATTACTAGTACACTTATTGTTCATCAATGTCTAATTTTCTGGGACATTTTTGATCATACTTAAAACAACCACAAACTTTTTAAACTATTACATTTATTACACATTACTGTAATTCATCCATTGCTTGTAAGCATAGTTGCGATAGTTTAAAAAGAATGAATTCATCTTAAATGTGGCCAAGAATGTTCTAATAATAACTGTCTAAAGGCTTGAATCAGAATGTCATACCTTTCTTTCATCTTTTTGTCTTGCTCAGCTGCTATTTCATCCTGGGCTTTCTGAAAACAATTAATTAACATTGAATTAATGAGATATTAAAAAAATATTGAACCCATCTGAAATTTACACACATTGTTAGCCATAGTTTTAAGAGAGATAATAGCTTGTTACTGGATCTCAACTTGAAGACAAATTCTGGTCCGTTCGTTGACTCATTCTCGGTCCATTATGACCAGCCTATTATCATGTAAAATTACTTTTTCATAATTTCTAGTTTCTGTTCACCTTGCTAGAAAGTACAGGATACCAGAAGTGCTAAATCTTTGCTAAATTATTTGCTCTGCTTGACCCCTGCCCTGAGATATTCCCCTTGCATGTTACCTGCATGTTCACCACATGTTCCCTAGCGTATTCTCTCTTATGTTTACATTCTCCATCAAATTACATATTTCTCGCATTAACCCCCACACATTCCCTTTATAATCCCCTACAAGTGTCCTCACAGGTCCATCATGATTCCTATATGTTTCCCTGAATCTTCCTCAAATGTTCACCACATGTTCCCATACTTATGAATCTGAAAATAAAAAAATTAATTTAAGTGTTTTTATAACAAAAAAAATAAAAATATACTTATAAACATTGTGTCAGTGTATAGTACAATGCCTCACCTCCTGAATGAAAACAGGAAATTCTAAATTGCTAAAATTCCCGGAAGAGCAATGTAATGTGGGGCCCCAAAGACTTATCACAAAAACTTGCAATCTCCAAAAACCAGAACTTTTATACAACCTAGAAGCACTATTTTTTAAACGAGAAAATACCTTCACAATGAAACCCAACTTACAGATTCTGGCAATATATGCTACACAGTGACAATACCATAAAAATATGATGTCCAAAAAGATCTTGTTAAGTAGATTACTTGCAGGAGCTTGTGGTCCCTTGCAGGACCACAAAGAATGGTTTTAAGCCTCTTGAACAGCTTGTTTCTCAGTTTTGCTTGTTTCTAAAGTGTGTTCAGCATAATTCATCTTTCAATTTATTTTAACTCTTTCAATACCATTAAGAAACTGAGCAATTTAAACAGTGTAATGGAAATGTTTGCAAGTACTGGGATTGCTTTGGGTATTTCATAAAGTTTTGAATTAGAGATCCTTCTGATAAAAAAGAGAGCATTTTCAGACACTCAAAGCAGATTTAAAAAATTATGAATTCAGATCTGTTATTAAAAAATTGTTGAATTTGTAATGTTGCAAATCACTGGGAATTTGACATCTGTATGCCTTCTGAATATTGTATATATCGCTAACAGCACAAATACTACTTACAAAGGAAGACATTCTGATTATAATCAACAATGCTTGCAAGTATGAATATCTAATCACTTCCTCGAAAATATTAGAAATAATTGCAAAAAATAAAAGAACACATTGGTGATTGTCCTGCAACCATTTTAGTGATACAATCAAAAGTGTTAATATTTTTATCTCTGACATCCCTAAACTTATTCAGACATGGCCTTATTGCAGATGATACTGCAATATTTACTGCACAGTCTGATCTCACACAAAGTTGAGGTAGCTTACAAGATTTAAATACATTTTGTATCTAGTTCACCAATTGAACATTAAAACCAACAAACATCCCAATGCAAAATTTTTTCATTAAAACATAGCCATCCAACTTATTCACTGATACTTAATCTTAATAGGTTCCTCAACCCCAGTTAACAATTGAAGTTTACACATAGATCCAAAATTAACATTGAAGACACATTTCTTCAATATCTAATAGTTCTTTTCAATATCAAATCACTAATATCAAAATCCTTAAATTGAGTCCGTTCATAAACAAAAAATCAAAACTTTCAACTGATTCAGGTATCTTAATTTATAAATATATCATTTATCCCACAATAACATATGTTTTTTCTATATATGGGTGACACAGCAAAGAAACATAAATGCAAGTTAAAAGTTATTGAAAATTGATTTTTACGTCAATCATTAAAAACTTCTTGGTTTATTCATAATGACCAAATTTTAAAAGAACTGGCAATCAATAAGAACGTGGATTTCAAAATTACCAAATCGCTTTTATTTTTCTCATCCATCTTGTCCAGCAACTAACACATTCAAATTAGGCAAATCAAGTATTAATTCTTCTTGCATTAATTTGCTTCTTATTTATTGATCTAAGAAAATAATGTACTCCAAATTTTTTCTTTAAATATATTTTAAGAATGGAGTAATATACACTTATAAAAGTGGCATAGGTCCTATTTTTATGGTTTGAATTTTCTTTGGTTTGAATATTAACTTTGAATTTTCGAAAATGTCAAAAGAGTGAATTTTATTCGGTGTCTTCCTACAACTACAAAATTAAAGATAGAGCTTTTTGCTTTATATACAATTTTGTTGTTCATAATTAGTTCTTTCATCAAAGTCATACACATTTTTTTAAAACTTTTAGTAGTTTTCAAGCAACATTGTAGGCAATATTTACAATTTTAAAAAAATAACAAAAACAAGATTTTTTCAAAAATCTCAATTCCAAATTTTTTAATTTCACTTTTGGTAGGGATAGTGATAAATGTACTCTGTAAGATGTAATAAAAGCCATATTGCTCTATTCTTTTGTTTTTCCAAAAAATACAAAAATTAATTTTTTTTACTAGTGTCTCACGTTGTTAATATTTACATTAGCAGCAATTTGTTCACATTATTATATTTATGAGTACATGAGTTTCAAGTGATGTCATATAAGGTTTCTCGAAAACTCTACTGTTTACTGTGAAAACTCTCAAAATTCTGCATTTTCAGATACGCTCAAATGTCATTTTCTAAAAAAGGTTCGAAATTTTGCCTTCAAACAGATAGTACTAATTACACTCTTTAATATTATATAAAGTTCATTTCAGAGTATTTTTTTGTTTTTCAAAAATGACACAGATGTAATTTATTTGAAAGATTTCTCATACCATTAATAGGCCCATTTCCGGCAATTTGTAAACACTATTGTATATGTGAGTTAAAATGCTTCAAATGGCTGCTAATGAAGTTTATTGAAAACTCAAAAATTCTCTGTAAATAAGGGCTTCAAATTTGGAATTTATAGTAGGTAATACATGCTATTTTCTAAAAAACGGCTCCAAGTTTTTTAAAGAACATTGCCATTTGCCATACATAACTACTGATCTCATCAATACTTTGATTAATGTAATACACATTACATAAGGACACTTGACCTTATTAACTACTCTTGCTCCTTTTTACAAATGTTTTATATTTACCTCAAATTGTTCATTCTAAAAGGTCATATTCTTTCACAAAACCTTAAATATTTTTGTTTTGTGCTCAAATATCGCTACTTTTGGAACATTGCTAAATAGATTGCAAGTGGATGTAAAGTAGGGGAAACTGTCATTCCTAGGGACAGATGTACCTAGGGACGAAGCAAGTTTTTGAGAGAAACCATGGATTGTTATTTTCTGTGCATTGCTAATGTCATTTGTGATTGTTCAAGTAAACGATTTTGTAGTGTGAGCTGTTTCCATGATTTTTGATAATTTAATAGATTTGTCAAGTGAAAAGTACAAAATGTCTACTTTCTTCTTTCATTGATTTTGTTATAACTACTATTATTTTACAAATATTGAAGTATACCTATACTTACTAGCATAGAATGTAGTTAACTCAAGGTGTATACTTCTTTCCTACAGGTAATCTACAATTAACAGTTGCCGTGTTCATTCATAATTGCAGATTGTTGTACCTAGGGACAGTGACTGTTGAAGATTATACATTTATGTACCTAGGGATGTCTCTAGGTTCATAAATGTATAATTTACGTAAATACATTCAACAAATGTTATAATACGTTACAATCATACATTCAACAAATGTTATTGTGATATTCTCTCCGAAAATAATGAACATACATTTATTTAGTTGTATATTTTCTCACTTCCCCTTCAATGTCCCCAAGTACATCAAGTACATAGGGACACAATATTCACAAACAAATAATCTCAAAAAGAACCTTATAGAATGTTCTTAAAAATATTATTACTACACATAAATGGGCTCAGATGTGTAGCATTCCAAAAAGATGAACATCAACAATTTTAGATCCAAAACAAAAGAGAGAAAAATTAAAACTCAAAAAGTGTCCCTAGGTTTGACAGTCTCTTCTATAAGAGCTGGATTTGTTTTCTGGTGAGGTGACTAATACTTTGAACAACTGAGATAAATTGAAAGTTATTTTTCTTTCTTAAGTACATTCCTTTCATGTTGAACAATCAATACTGAACCAATATCAAAGGAATATAATGAGTAAGAATGATTGATAAAGATAATCCTTATTCTTAATATTACTTGGCAATTATCTTCTTTGCTTCTCAGATAAGTTAAAATGAATGCTTTTATAATAGTTGCTGTTGAAGTTTCTGATGTCACTGCTATTTGCATTGTAATGTTAAAATAGCAATGCACAAAAGAACATTACATTATAACAAACATAATATATTATTAATTTCCCTTTAGATTAATCCCCAATGACATATAATATAAATTCAAATTTTTCAGAAAATAAAAGTATGGAAACTTACTTTTCCTTTCTTGGGGCCCATTTTCATATAACTTATGAGAAGAGTCTTTAACGAGTGACAATATTATTAGGAAAGTCAAAGAAATACAGTATTTATCACTGATGTATTTGAGGTTATATATATTGCGTATGTTTATTTTTTGTTGCCAAGGTATTTTAAGACAAATGAATATTAAATTATGATTTTTTTTCTAATTTTGTTTTTACATGAAATTTTGTATCAACCAAATTTTATTTTAATTTTCATAAAACTATGAAAGTGTTTAGATAATTTCAGCTCTTCTACTTTCTGGATTAACTAAATTTACTAACAGAGGTACATAGAAATACAGAATTAAACAAAGCTGAAGCTGCTAAACAAAGTTGAAACTGAGTTGAACAAATAAAGAATAATGAAAAAGTTTTGACCTAGTGTACATATCTAGGGCCCAGATGTATGCAACCTAAA